GAGTGGTGATTCAATAACAAACACAAACTTCTGTCCGAGCCTAAAACAACATCATATCATTTAAGAATTGGCAAATATAACACTCAAATTAAGTCCCAGCAAATTAAAAAATAAGAATAAAACAGAGAAAGCAACCTGCAATTTCATCCAGCCAAAAAAGTCCCTAACTTGGCGCCAACTCTTCTGCTCCTTCAACACCACACACATCTCTTTGAAAGTGAGCTTCGCAACAAACGAACCCATCACCTCCCTCATGTCGTACTCCCCCTCACGCAGCTTGGAGGTACTCCTCACGCGCTTAATCGCCGCCACCACGTGCCGTCCGTACATGTGCCCGTTCCTATCGTCCTCCAGGTACTGAACCATCTGCTCGGGCGTGCGCTTGATCCATTTCGGCGTCTGCACGCGCGAGCCCTGGTTCCGCCTCAAGGCGCTCAAGTACCGGGCTTTGGCCTTGATTATGCTACGGGCGTCGTCGTCGGACAGCGGATTCTTAGGGGTTTTGTGTATGGGTTTCGGCTTCTCGAGGTTCTTGCCGGAGCGTGGGGACCACGGGTCGGGTTTGAGGCAGCAGAGGACTTTCGGCGGCGGCGGTTTGTTAAGCTTGCGGGGTTTTGGAGGTGTGTTTGCTGGGAATGATGGGAGGAAGGAGGATTTTAGTAACTCCATTAGCAGTTCATGGAGCTCTGTTACTGCTACAGAAACAAAAATCGAGCTGAAAAATGGCGGATTTTTATGTGTCAGAGGGATATTTTGTGCTGGTAAATTTTGGCTACATTTTCAACTAGAATTAGAGGTGGTAATTTTTGGGCATTTGAGAGAGATTTGGGTTGAACTCTACCCAGGCCTTGCTCAATTTTTTAATTAGATATACCACTTAATCGGGAAAAATTGTATCGTGAAAAATCAGATGACAAAGTTAGTACAACAAAAGAGATAGATTTAAAATTACAAATTAATATAACATAAAATATAACAATTAAAATTGATATATTAATTTAACTAATCACAACTGAAATTTCTTGATGTCATACCTAGGCCTGTAAACGAGTCTAGTCGAGCTCGGCTCGTTAAGTAAACGAGCCAGAAATCGAGTTCGAGCTCGGTTCGTTAAAGCCTCGAGTTCAAGGATTAACAATCTGATCTCGAGTTTTAACGATTTGAACTATAAAAAATTATATATAAATTCTCTTTTCGAGCCTTAACAAGCTTATCGAGACGAGCCGAGCTCGTCTTGTTAACCTACCTAGCTTTAAATGAACTCGAATTCGACTCATTAAAGCCTCGAACTCGAGTCGAGTTGAACCAGATCCATGTAATTTAACAGCACTGATATATGCAGCTGGTCTAACCTTTTTCGTTGGTAATATTTGGGCCTTCATTCTGTAACAACCCAAGTTGGGCCTTAAATTGCAGCTGGTCTACCTGAAAGGACTTTTTCAAATAGTAATATTTGGCTTTCGTGCTGTAATTGCCCTAGTTGGGCCTTAATCTGCAGTTGGTCCAATCCTGAAAGGCCTTTATTCGTCCAGCTTCGTCGGTAGTATCTTCTGCCCAATTCATCAGAGTTTGAAACTCACTCATTCGCAATCTTCATACCATCCTTTCCTCGCTCGATCAATAAACTCCAGCAAGGCTCGCAACTCGTTTGCTCCATCTGTAAGAAAAAGCTTGGAGAAACCTTTATTTGCGAATATAATTGATAAGTGTATGGCATAAAGTTCATTTTTTTTTCAGTTATTTTAATTCGTGATGTTTGAATTTGTACAGGTTTTGTATAAATTGTTTGACCTCGGCCATCATTAGTACTGATAATGGCCGGCAGCGGTGGCAGCTCGTCGTCGAACCCTAGTTTAGCTCCCAAAATCTTGCTAGCTAAGCCGGGGCTCGTCACCGCCGGCAAATTCAACCGCGGCGGCGGCGGCGCAGCCGAGGAGGACCCGGCAGCGCTGCGCTCGCGGCTTCCACCTGTTGGGTCTCTCAATCTCCTTTCGGACTCGTGGGATTTCCAACCCGATCGATTTTTGCCGGTCAGCATTTTCATTCTTGCCCAGTAGTTTTCAGATTGGTGTCATTGAGTTATTATGATTTTTTAGCTAGCAGCCATTATTTATCTTAATTGGGTTTCTGGAATAACTGTGCAGTTTTTAACTGATAACACTGATTTCGTTGTGGTGGGAGTAATTGGTCCGCCAGGGATTGGAAAGTCGACTGTTTTGAACGAAATATATGGTTTCGATTCTTCTTCACCTGGTATATATGTATTTGAATTGAGTGAAAAAAGTTAGTTATTTGCATGTGTTTCAGCAATGAATTATGAACTGTTGAAGACTGAATTTTGGATATTTTGATAGGCATGTTGCCTCCTTTTGGTGTACAATCAGATGAAACAAGAGCAATGGCTCGGCATTTAACAGCAGGAATTGAGCCCCGGGTTTCATCCGAGAGGATCATACTTCTTGATACTCAGGTGTCGGATTTTTATGGTATATGTTTTTCAGTGAGTTAAGAAGTTCTTCTGTAACTTATTTGGCTTTTTTTTTTTTAATTATGTGCAGCCTGTGTTTAGTCCTTCAGTTTTAGCCGAGATGATTAGGCCAGACGGGTCATCTACTGTCTCAGTTATAAGTGGTGAACCCTTGTCTGCAGAGCTAGCTCATGAGATGATGAGTATCCAGGTAATTCCTTTACAAGTTGTAAAAAATGAAAGTTTACATACCTGTAAGAAATTATATGACTCGTTCAGAAAACTCGTTAGGTTTCTTACGAAGTCATGATAGAGCTAACTCGCATAGGTATCTCTTATTTGTGCTGCAAGGGATTTTCTAGCTTGGTGTCCTGCTTGCATCCATTTGCCACATAATTATCGTGGTTTCAGAGGGAGTTCACGATGCTTCCATGTGGCAGTTGATGTTGACGGTAGTCATTTCTTTCAAGGAAAATTTCATTTTATGACTGTTTTTGGCAAAAAGATGAATTCAGTTTGGTGCAATGGATCTCCAAATGTAAATATTTTGCGACTTGTGTTTTTAACTTATATAAGTGAGAAGCATGAAATTATTTTCAGGCGCTACTTATTTTGTGTGAAATCATTGCATTTTTATTTTTATTTTTTTCCTTGATCAGGTCGATTTATTAAAACACGCTATACCTGATCCATCCTCTGCAACGCTCTCTCATTTACAAATATCAACTATTAATTCCGACAGAGAAAATATCACCACCAAACCTCTCGATATTGGAGATGAATATATTGCTGCACCCATTTTTGTTCATATGAGGTGATGTGTTCTACAAGTGTACTAAAGCGTTTTTTCGGAGATCTGGCTAACATGCTATTGCTTATATAGTTATATTTTTTGTTATTATCTTGTAGGGTTCATGACCGTGACATTACACCAAGCAATTTTGAGAAAATGAAGAAGGCACTTGCACGGTGTTTTAGTACTACTTCATTTGTAAGATCAAAAGGCCAAAATGCATTAAAGGACGACGATTCTGATATAGACCTGAAACTGTTTCTTGTTCCATTCAAGGGCAAAGATGGCGACTCGAGGCCAATGTACGAGAGCTATTTCTCTGTTCTATGGAAGCTAAGGGATCAGGTTTTTTCCCTCTAAAAAAAGGAACTTAAGAATACCCTTTGGTATATTATTTCATTTTTTCTTCTGAAAAATTCAACATTTGAGGAGGTGCCTAAAACTGTGATTTGGTCCAAGGGCAGGCTTTGTAATATCGATGAGCTCTAGCATAATTTAAAGAAAGGCTTTGTTTTCCTTGTAGATTTTGTAATTGCAAACCAGAGCCCACACAACTCAATATGGCATCGAATCTCTTTGCAGGTTCTTTCTATGAGCGCCCCTTCTTTCTCAAGAACTGTTTCCGAACGTGACTGGTTGAAGAATTCTGCTAAGATATGGGAACTCATCAAATATTCTCCTGTTATTGCTGACTATTGTAAAACGCTTCGAAGTTCTGGATTATATAGGAAGTAGATCTATTTTCTTCTCATTTCCTTACTCTCAGTAACTTGTATCGGATATTACAATATTCAATATTCATATATTTTGTGACTGTTTACCCTAAGTTATACTCCCACAGCCATTATTTACAGAGGTGTGCAAAAGGTTTGCTGGGATAAATTGGCTTATCAAACCCATTTTGGCTATAAGCTATCTGCAGCAGTTTTTTGTGTTCCGAGTACGATTTCCAGTGTGATATTTTTACAATCATAAAAGAAAATAAAAACATAGTTAATTCAATTTCAAACAAACCTCGTGATGTTCAGCAACACATCACAATGCAATACAAAGGACGCAAGAAAAGTGTGACTTTCTCAAGAAAAATCTTCATTCAAAATACATTCTAGCTTACAAATCATTAAAGAAAAAAAACACAATCTTCGATTTCCAGGATAAGTCAATCTTATGATTTGATAAGAGTACAAACTTTATTGATAAAAAGAAAACAATAAAGGCCAGCAAGCATATCCATGCAATATTTCCACTTCATTACACGAGGGAAAATTTCAAACTATGCCTTCTTGGGCTGCCAAGGTTGGTACCTGGTCCAGTCTCGTTGACCAGGGTTAAGGGTATGACCTTTCGAGTGATAAATATATTCATCTCCCTCGCCTGAAAAGTTCTCTTTGTGCTCAACACCATATCTCTTTGGCTTCAACAGAAGCAACTACATTCAAACACACATGGATCAGCATACACTACAAGCAAAAATGGCAACATAAATTAACACAACAAGATCATCATCTAACCTCGTCCCCTGTATGATCGGTTATGTAATGTAACCAGCCGTGCCATTCAGGTGGAACTTGAGAAGCATTGTAACGGTTCTTTGAAGCATACTCCACCCACCTATGTCTCCCTAAAATCGAAAAATATGTAAAAATATAACGGAATATATCATTTCAGTTCTTAGGTGCAGCTAGGCTCAAAACAAAATATTCGCAAGATTGGAGGAAGTAAGAATGGATATTATTGGAACTGTAAATAAATGTAAAACAGCACTCACCATATTGAGTGTCTCCAAGTTTCTGGTAGTACTTATTGCCAAACTTGTCGACACCCACAAGTGTTGCGCCTATATTGTGAATCTTCGTTTGCCTAGATTAATTGAAAAAAAAAAAAGCTATCCAGTTTAAGAACTACAGCAACATAACAAATGCATGTACGATTTACACAAGCAAAACATGCTAGAGAGATGTGCTGTTTGCTTTAGTGCTACACTAACAAGCAGATGAAAGGACGAAGAAAAGAACTACAAGATGTGCCCAAGTGAGAGTTGCTAACAAATTGACCCACCCTTAAATTCTCTAAGGTTATAACTCATAGTTATGACTGATAGTTTCTCAAATATAGAATATGAGTTACAAAAGTGCAACGCTGAGAGAGAAAAATATTTGCAGATATAAGCAATTGTTGAGGCAGAAATCATAATTTTTGTTTCCCCTGTGCATAACGGCAATAAAGAACTAACACATAGGAATCACTATCCAACATATAAAATAGAGCTACAAAACATGAAATATGTAAGACTCCGCACAAAAGTATAACACGAGTTCCCTAATTCCAGGCTATATACACAAGGGAGTAAACAGAAAAGTGGAGCCACGTGATGTAATTTTCGACCTTCGATTGAACTTTAAATGAGCTTGGACTTATATATCAGTACTTAAACAGGTCCACCATGAATATCCTCGATAGCAGTAACAGACAAATCAAACTCCAATATCCAATAATAATCACAATTTTGGCAGATATGTGATCACTAAACTGTGTTTGAAGCTCAAACTTAGCTTCAAGATTTACCAACACCAAGAACCTAACCAGGTATATTCATATCATACCACAATCACATTCCATCGATCAAGTAGCATCTTTTATACAACCGCACTAAGTTATCAAACAACGAGTTGCCAATAAGTCGATAAACATAGAGATTGACAGCTACAAATGAACTCGTGAACACCCACAAATTAAATTTATCATTAAACAATTAAACAGAGATGCGTATGTTGCGTTGGTTCTGCGGGCACACAAAAAGGGATAGAATCCGGAATGAGGATATTCTAGATAGGGTCGAAGTGGCTCCAATTGAGGAGAAATTGGTTCAACATCGGCTGAGGTGGTTCGGACATGTCCAACGGAGGCCTCCTGATGCACCGCTGCGTAGGAGAGTTCTACATGTAAAGAGAGGTAGAGGTCGGCTTAAACTCACTTGGGAATAGTCGGTTAAGAGAGACCTTAAAGATTGAAATATCTCCAAGGATTTAGCGGTGGATAGGAGCGCTTGGAGGCTAGCAATCAACGTGCCAGAACCGTGACTTTTATTCCTTTCTCTTTTTGCTCCAATCTCTTCCTTTTGTTTTGAGCCCTTTTTGTGTTTCTCTTACCATTGGTTCTCTTGAGTTTCATCTCTAGCCTACCCCAACGTGCTTGGGACTAAAAGGCTACGTTGTTGTTGTATTAAACAATTAAACATCTCTTTTCCAAATTACAGTTATTACAAATCTAGCATGCTTGACATATGCTGAACTATTTTCTAAGGTGCCATGACAAGTGAGCCGCAGACTTACATAAGATTCCCATCGAGAAGTGCATTCCTGCATGATAGAAATTGAAGAAAAGAGAATTAGAGACACAGTTAAGAAAAAACTACAAAATGCATACTTTTACACATACACCCAAAAAAGGCATTATATAACACACATGTGAAACAAGAAAACGTGAGATTGCACTTTAATTCCTCACCATTGGCTGAATATCGAAATTTCACTGACTGTGAACNAAAATCCCTTCGATTATAAGAAACGGATCACATGGCTGAAACAAAACCCAGTCAGAATCACAGCAGCTCAACCACAGAGAGCAACAAGGCAGAGTTTTTGATCATTCGCAACCAATCAAAAAATGTAAAAATGAAGAAAAAAAAGGAGTCGAGATAATTTGAACTTACAGGTATCCTTCAGATCGGAGCTCCCTGAAGAAACCTCCGAGGCCTTTCTCTCTAATCAGGCCAATCGCACCTCTCAGCACGGCGGTCATCCTCTCTCTCTCTCTCTCTCTCTCTCTCTCTCGGCGTAGCTCGGTCGTTATGAAGGAAACACAAATGGAAATTCGATCCACAGCTTTCCGACGGGCATGAGAGCTTCCCAGAGCCCAAATCAATATTATTAATCCGCCCCATAATAAAATAAAAATGAGGCCGGTCCAGTGAAATCGTTGGGCTTGGGCCGTTAACTAGGGAGTGTGAGGCGATATAAGTACATCCCATTATCAGAGCACTTTACAAAAACAAATCACAGTGCTTTTGTTCCTTTTTATTTTTTTTTCCCAAGCTAGGTGGTAATTGGACCGAACGAACCCAATTTTGAACATTTCGAGATCGTGTTCGATTAATTTTAAACTTTTTCCGTATTTTTTTGTTTGTTATTTAAACAAAAAATTTAGTTTGAACTCGTTCATTTAATTATTCGTCAAAGTTTGAATAATTTACGAAAAAAGTTTATTAAATTTTTTTCATTAACTCGAAATCAATTTGTTTGAAATTCTTCCAATTCGTAATAATTTTTTTTTTAAAAAATTAATACAAATATCATACATGTCGATATAAAAATAAAAATTATATTAAACTTATGTTCGAGAATGTTATTAAATGTTTGCAAACGAGCTTGTGTTAGTCTGACTAAGAGCATCTACATCGCTGCGTTAATCTGCCGTTTAAACGAGTCCATCTCCATTTAAACCGATGCTAACGTTCATTTAATGAACAAAAGTTCAGGGACCAACTAATTGCGTTAAGCGTATTGAACGCCAATGAAGAGTTAAAAATATAAAATAAATTTCCAATTCTCACACAAACATTAAAAAGTGGTAGGACCGTGCAATTATATATTATTTATGATGGATCCCTCATTTTGTATTTAAATCAACGAACAAATGTGGATGTGTGTTTAAATGGAAAGATGTTTGTGAAAAGATGATGTGGATATAATGGGGATGAGAGAGTGTATAAATTGTGATTCAATGAATAAGTAGGGATGTGGATCCCCTAACAAATAAACCTACTCTTTTAGTTGAGTGTGGCTTGATTGATTGAGGAACAGGTTTTCATCAACTATTAATGAGTTTGAACAAACTTCTGTTGATGAATGTATGATTTGTTTGAACTCTAGTTCTATATAATTACAAAGTGGCTCAACAATAAAATTATAAATAGTATATTCATTTGAAAACTTTGAGTTGCATTTTTCATTTGTGACTTTGAATGTATTATAAGATTCCCTACAACCTAATACTTTTTAAATCTCTTTACGATTTTGTATATGCAAGTTGTGTATGAATTTCCAATAAGTTATAAAAAAGCCGAACAATTATCAATGCTAAATAAATTAATTATCTCTTTTTTTTTTAAAAAAAAAATTAATATCGCGAGATCTTTATAAAAGTTCGAGCTAAATACATCAAAATCCTTAAATTATAGAAATATTTTTAAAAATTCCGAATAAATATGGCCCCAACTATTTTTTTTATTTAATTATGAGGCTTCTTAAGATTTTTTAATTTAATTAGAATTCTTGAAATCTTACATTTGAAGCTATGATTTCGTATAGGTATTGTTTTTTTTAAATCTAAATAAGTTTGTTCATACAAATATAATTGATAAACAAATAAATATTAAACAAGTATCTTATTTTTTCTTTAATTTTAACTCAAAAATCTCAAAAAGCTAATACAACAAAGGAGAATCTATATCTATATATATATAAAGAGGTTGTTGGAAAAATACATTAATAGAAAGTTTGACCAAATAAATATAATGTTTGACTTACTATTAATGGAAAGTTCAAAAAAATACATGTGAATCTTTAGTAACAAAATCTGAATCATATTTTTTTGGAACTAATTTGGAGATTCTTATGGCAAAATTTGAATCCTATTTTTTTTGTATCATATTTTATTTTTTTACCAAAATTTAAATCATATATTTTTTGGTAACAAATTTGGAGATTCTTATGCAAAAAATGTGTCAATTATTTATGAAAACAATTCTAAATACAAATTAACTTAAAAACCGTACAAATTGGATACAAATTTTGGAAACAAATAGTTGTATAATTCTTAACTAATTCTTTCAATCTTATTGAATAATTTTTTCTTTCAAAAAAAAAAGTGCGTAAATTGGATAAAACCACGTTCAATTTTTATTTTAGAATAAAACTGATATTTAGACGGGATGTACATTCAAAATTGTGTCCATATTTTTTGGTAACAAAAGCGGTTCATCTTTGATATTTAAAAATTAAAAAAAATCTTAAAATATCCTTAACTATTTAACTTATTTGAGATCAAGATTTGTTAGGTCTTTTTAAGAAAAATCTCAAAGTGACACTCAAAATTCTAAACGAATATATATTATTTACCTATATCGTCAATTTACAATTATTATTTAATATTATTTACCCGTGCATCGTACGGGCCACATACTAGTAGAATAGAATACACTCGTATACTCATGCAACCCAACACATGTGTGAAAGCATTGGGCTTGGGCCGTTAATTTCGGAACGTGAGACAATTTAAGTTGAGCCCATTATCAGACAACTTTTTTGTGTCTTTGAAATGAAAAGGAAAAATCACATGCCAAGTTGCCGACGCTTTTGTTCCCCTTTTGCCCTAAGCTACTATTATTTATATATAGCTCTTGAGCTCAACAATGAAATCATCATGACTAAGGCTATGTTTGTAATAGAAACTACTCAATTCACATTAATTCATAGTCGTCTAATTTAATTTTAACTAAATCTTACTATACTCAATATTATTAATATAATTAAATAATAATAACTAATTATTAAATAATATCAACCAATCAATTTTACACAATTATATCAACTTTAATTAATTATTTATTCATTCACAAAATTTTAACTAACCATCATTTTATATCATATCTTTCATACTTTTACATCAAATCAACTTTAATTATTATTATTTTAATATAAACTATTATTTTACAAACACAAGTAAATAATCAATTAAAAAACAAAAAAAAAATACAGAAAACATTCATATACATACACACAACCCAACACATAATATATCTCCCGTGATATAAAAGGGGAGGGAAGGGGCAAAATACCATTTTCAAAGTTACTCTCTTTCTCTATCTAGAATCCGTCTGCTTCAATTTGAAGCTGTCTTTTTCCCCATAGCCTAATTCAGTTCCCCTTCTGCCGCCTCTCTAATCATCGCAGTGCCCTTTTCACGCTAGACAATTTTCCGGCTTTTTATCTTCACGCTGTACGGCTGCTCTCGCTAGGGTTTCTAGTGAGCTTTTTACTGTGTTTCAAGGGGTTTAGGGTTTAAATTTGAGCAACTGTGGTGATCTATCAGCCATGGCGGCGGAGAAGCTGCGGGATTTGAGCCAGCNTTACCCACCTTGATTTTTCTAGAGACACTAACTTGAATTTTAAGAAGCTTTTTGTTTGTTCGATTTGTTTGCTGGGTTCTCAGTAACAACGAAGGACTTGAGTTATTTTAAGAATTTATCCCGCTTGGTTTATCAAAGTTGTGGAATTTATTAATTTTCACTCATGTTGAGTTTGGCAGTAGTTTTAAAGGGTAGAAACCTTTATAGTTTTGGTTTGCGGACCAGCTGCATCGTTGGTTTTACGTTTCATGTCTTGTTTGGATTGTTGCTAATCATGTTTGGAACAGTGACATTGTGCTCGAAAGTTCATTACCTGGGTTCTGTATAGGACATAGTTTAGACTAAACCACGGTGTTCGGTTTAGATGGCTTCAAATCCTTATATTTTTGTTGTGACTGGTCAGATTTAGGTGACGACGCCCCAAGTTCGCATGATTAGAATGAAATGTGAACTTATGGATGGTGTTGGAAAGTGTGAATGATCATCTTGTCAGGACATTTCACATGTTCATGTGGTTTTGGCAGTCTTTCTTATAAAGCAATTCAATTTTGCATGTTTATTTGCCAGATATTCACTTGCTTATAATGGAAAGGTTAGCTTGTAAAGCTTGTTAAATTGTTGTGCATTTTGTTACGGTTAGCTTTTATTTTATGTCAACAATTTCCAATTATAGGTTTTGAGTATTTGGTCAAAGTAGTAGAAGCTTACAACTTAAGAATCTGTTGGAATTGGTTACCTGTGTGAATGTTGCTCTTACTTGCTCCTCTGTATAATTTACAACATTCCCCATCCCCAGTTATGTGTATGATGATCAGATCAGATAATGGATATATGTTTCTTGACCTGGTAAATGCAGCATTGGATCATTTCTTAGGAATATTATAGTTCTTATGATTTGAGTATCATCATCTGCAACAGCATTGGATCATTTCTTAGGAATATTATAGTTCTTATGATTTGAGTATCATCATCTGCAACAGTAAATTTTATGCAGATTACTTAACTAGCTATTTTTTCTATCCCTGCCCTGAACCTTCTGGTTGTATTGTTTCTTGATTTTGTGACAGAGAGCTGCTGCCGACCATGTTTTGCGGGATCTACAAAATAATCCAGATATGTGGCTTCAAGTGGTTCACATTTTATCCAATACACAGAACTTAAATACCAAATTTTTTGCTCTACAGGTATGCCAATGATAGTTGTTGAGCCTGGGATTCTTTAAAACATGTTACACAAAAACTTATTGTCGACTGTTATCTGATCGTTACATTCTTTTCACTATACTGAAGCAATTTACTTGCCATCTCCATGTGCAGGTTCTAGAAGGTGTTATTAAGTACAGATGGAATGCTTTACCTGTTGAACAACGAGATGGCATGAAGAACTATATATCTGAAGTTATTGTTAAGGTAAGTGAATATCTTTGGGAATGAGTTTTGTGTAACTATGTCTGGGTTGTTATTGAAGAACATGTATCTCCTGATACTTTTGTCATGCTATATTCTCATCAGCTTTCAAGTGATGAGATCTCCTTTCGGCGAGAGAGGCTGTATGTGAATAAATTGAACATTATACTGGTTCAGGTAACTTTAATTTAATCATCCGAATGATGCTTATCTGCGCTACCTTTATATTCTATTTCTTGGTCATCCCTTTTTTGGGACACACTTTATTGGATTTCATGCTTATCTGAGGTAGATTTTGGCTGTCTTTTTCATATTTAGATTTTGAAGCACGAGTGGCCTGCCCGGTGGCGAAGTTTCATTCCAGATTTGGTTGCAGCAGCAAAATCAAGTGAAACCATTTGCGAAAATTGCATGGCAATACTAAAAGTAAGTAATTAATATCTTCTCATAAGCTCGATTTAACTACATATAGCTGACTTGAGAATGATATTTGTTAGCTCTTAAGTGAGGAGGTCTTCGACTTCTCAAGGGGTGAGATGACCCAACAGAAAATCAAAGAGTTAAAGCAATCATTGAATAGGTATGCATGTGACATGTTAATCATCTGTTGATATATTTGTTGTTTTTGTGACTCATATCTTGCCTATTAATATTTCTATTGCCTTAGTTGGACGAGGTACTGAACATACAGCGTTGCGTTTACACTTGAATTGGATTAATTACGGTACCGTCCCTAGTGTGAACGCAACGCTGTATGTTCAGTTTTGGTCTTTAGATATCTGATGACTTTGTAATGTTCTTTCCTTTTTCTTCTACAGAAATGATAATTGAAATTCTGTTTGTGTGCAGTGAGTTCCAGCTTATTCATGAGCTATGTTTATATGTATTGTCAGCATCTCAAAGAGCCGAGCTTATCAGGGCTACCCTTGCCACATTACATGCTTTCCTTTCCTGGATTCCTCTAGGCTATATATTTGAATCACCGCTGGTTTGTACATCTTCTTCTCTTGTGGGTGGTTGTTATATGAAAGAAGGGCTATAATTTCCGTCTTGTCGTATGGATTCTTTGTTTGGGAAATGTACTTGTAAGTCAAGTCAGATCTGATGCCCTCATTTTATGTTTTGGTTGGCAGCTTGAAACGCTGTTGAAGTTTTTCCATGTACCGGCTTATCGCAATCTGACTCTTCAATGTCTGACAGAGGTACACGTACCTTTGGAATCTCTTAAATTATCATTGTTGTATTTGCCTATCTCATTGCATGTGTCAATATGTGCAGGTTGCCGCTCTTAGTTTTGGGGACTTCTATAACGTGCAGTATGTCAAAATGTATACTATATTTATCATGCAATTGCAGGTAGCGTAATTTTGTTTTGTGTGCAGTATGATCAGGTAAAACCTCTAGCTCAATGAACTGCATGCTAAATTCTCATCTCTGTTGTAGACGATCCTGCCACCTACAACCAACCTTGTAGAGGCTTATGTAAATGGGACTAGCGAGGAGCAGGTTCTTTTCTGATACAAAAACGATAATGCATTAATCTGTTTCTTCTCTCTCTATACTAATTTTCTGCTTTGAGTTTTTCCAGGCATTTATTCAAAATTTGGCGTTGTTTTTTGCATCATTTTTCAAGGTAATTACTCCTTGTTTTCTGGCGAATAAAACTAACAGGACTGCTGAAAGTTGTTGAATGGCTTCATGAGGTTGGAAAGTTGCTAATGTATTTAGAGATTCATTTCCTAGATCAAGAATCTGACACAAGGGTTGATTTTCAACTTTTCACATTCTTCTGTGGAAACTTGGAGCTTTCCACATTGTCTTGAGTTACTTAAAGATGTTTGAATGGGTGTGGAATATTTGTTGCACCTCACACTCACGAAGTAGATGTCATAATCTTTTTCGTGAAGCTCCCTACTGTCTTCCATTAGAGAACTGGACTTGGCTTTATTATTGAATTTGTCGAGTATGTTTTGCACCTTTAATGTAAATTTTTGCTGTGGATTTAGTTCTAACGTTCCTTCTCCACTCGTTTACCAGATCTATTTTTGTTACTCAAGCTTCTAATGTACTAATAAAAATCACCACACTCACTTCTTATGCATCTCATCTAAACAGCCAATAAATCAAGTTTTGTCTCGGCGGTTGTTAGTTTGACCTTCATGTTTCTGGTGACTTTTGACGGATGTTTTTTGTTCCTTGTGCAGTCTCACATACGAGTATTAGAATCTTCACAAGAAAACATAAATGCACTGCTAATAGGACTGGAATATCTCATCAACATTTCTTATGTGGATGATACTGAAGTTTTCAAGGTATATGCTTATTATTTTTATTCGCAAGTTTCCACATTTTCATACGATTCATTTTGTTTATGTGTTTTATTATCTCAAAGGTTTGCTTGGACTATTGGAACTCCTTAGTCTTGGAGCTGTTCCAAGCTCACCATAATCTGGACAACCCTGCAGCAAATGCGAACATGATGGGATTGCAGGTGCCTTTATACTGGTTGTATTAGCAATCTTTTTTGTCAATTTAGTTTTCAACTCTGACAATTGTAATGCTGAAATAGGTGCCGTTGCTGGTGGGTATGGTTGATGGCCTAGGTTCACAACTCATGCAGAGGCGTCAACTTTATGCTGGTCCGATGTCAAAGTTGAGATTACTGATGATCTGCCGGATGGCAAAACCTGAAGAAGTTCTTATCGTCGAAGATGAAAATGGAAATATAGTTCGTGAAACAATGAAGGACAATGATGTGCTTGTGCAATATAAGGTCCTTTTAAAATGATTAGAAACTTTAACAGCTACTGGGTGGCATAGTTGATGTCATCTTCTTCCAAAATCTGATATGTAGTCAGCCAGATATTAAATAATTAAATCTTGCAGATTATGAGGGAAACACTGATCTACTTGGCACATCTAGATCACGAAGACACTGAAAAACAGGTTTGCCTCTTACTTTTTCGGAAAATGCTGCCTTTGCATGCATGCTTTGGAGGGGGTCTGTATTTCACCTGACATCAGTAGCTTGTTTTTGTCACCTCACTTCTTTCCTTTCCATTCTTTTGTAATGCATATGGTATATGGTTTCCTTTTGCAAAAGTAATTGTTAAGTAAAGTGTCGCTCAAGAATATTGCATACCTACCTGTAGAGGATTTGATTGCGCCTACCATACAACTTAATCTTGCATTCTTGGGCAATTATTAAGTGTCAGTAGTTGACTACATAAAACATAAAAAACTTACTGTTGGGAGGACGGAGATTGCATTAAGTTGGTACAATGATTGCCCCCATTTACTGGTTTAGTGAAGTTATTTTCTTTTTATATTTTTATACTGTAATCCTATGGTTTTCAGAAGTCGCATTGCTTGATTGAAGTTTTAATTTAGTTTGAATGTTTTGGAATCTGGAATGTGTTTACTTATAAATTGATTTGTGAATATGGATACAGATGTTGAGGAAATTGAGTAAACAACTAAATGGAGAAGATTGGACCTGGAATAACCTCAATACTTTGTGTTGGGCCATTGGATCTATTTCTGGGTCGATGGTGGAGGAGCAGGTAGGGTATCATTATCTGAATGTGCGACTTCAGTTTCTTATTGTGGCACTATATATACAGCACCTGCTAGGTGTACTCCCAAAAGTAACTTCTATCTCTGTTATATAATTCTGACTTTATTTGGCCACACGATTCGTCCTTTGACGTCATAAATGTAGAATTCTTTCTGTATTTTCTGATTTTTTTCCCGTTGTGTCATAATGAATATTTTGGGGTGTCTGGTTCTGCTATTCCCAGGAGTGCCACTTCATAATGACACACTGATGAGTGGTGACAGCACACTAATTTTTATATGGTTGCAACCAATCATCTCAACTTCACATATTCCTGCAACTTCCTTGCTTTGCCAGGAAAACAGATTCTTGGTGATGGTCATTCGGGACTTGTTGAACCTTTGTGAAATCACCAAAGGAAAGGATAACAAAGCTGTCATTGCCAGTAATATAATGTGAGTGGTGATTATTAGTATTTGGATTACGTACACATTATCTTGCTTTATGATGATGGATGACACTACCAAAGACACTTCCCATTGTTCACTGTATAGTTTGGAGGTGATATGACTTATGAGAGTACAAATTAATCAACTATTTGATTGAAACTTGCCCTTTTTTTCTATTTGTTGGTTGTATAGGTATGTGGTTGGCCAATACCCAAGATTTCTGAGAGCTCATTGGAAGTTTTTGAAAACTGTTGTGAACAAATTGTTTGAGTTCATGCATGAAACTCATCCAGGAGTTCAGGTTCTTTCATGTTAATCCTGCAGCTGTGTGGTGTAGATGCTTTTAACCTTATATTTTTCACGTCCGTCTCTTGTTTTTTTACGTTCATAGAGTACAATTTCACTGATTCTATGTTATTTGTAGGATATGGCTTGTGATACATTCTTGAAAATAGTTCAGAAGTGCAAGCGCAAATTTGTCATAATGCAGGTTGGGATTGTAGTACTGTACTGATATTTTTATGGTAATAGTATGATAGGGTCATGCCTTCATAAATTTTTCCCATGTCTGCATCCTACTTATGTAGGTTGGAGAAAATGAGCCGTTTGTATCAGAACTTTTGACAACTCTTCCGTCAACTATAGCAGATCTTGAGCCTCATCAAATCCACTCCTTTTATGAATCTGTAGGTCCACATTCCACATTTGCTTGATTTTATATTTAAGTTTAACTGTGTTGTAAAGTGGTTGATAACTGTTGCTACTTTATTTATATGTTCTAGGTGGGCAATATGATTCATGCTGAATCTGATCCTCATAGGAGAGATGAATATCTCCAGAGATTAATGGAGCTGCCAAATCAGGTAACACATTTCCTTGCTACTGAATACTAATTGGATTCCGGGAAGATGCTTATGGTAGTTATTTCCAAATAGTCATTGATTCCTTCTGTGTGATTATTACCTTTGCTCGTGCCTGCATTATTATTTATTACTGTGTTGCTAATGCATTGTCTGCTGCAGAAATGGACTGAAATTATTGGGCAGGCACGTCAAAGTGTGGATTTCTTAAAAGATCAGGATGTGATAAGGGCAGTGCTTAATATATTGCAGGTTCGTTCTCTGAATATGCATTGGATGCGAAAATGTATTGCACCTAATTTAAATTGAACAGTCTGCTTTCAAAGCTGCTATAATAAGATGGCTCATAAAGATTGCTTTTTGTGCTACATGTTAGTCGAATATAGTCTTTTAAAAGCCAAAGAAAGAAAGAAAAAAGAAAAAAGAGTGCATTGACGTGTGATACTTTTGGGGATAAAACTTACTATTGGGTGCTGTTTAGATTACTTAGACTGGGAAAAACAAATTGGCGGACTTTACTTCATGCTTTAGAATAAGCTTGTTTTCTGGTGGCGAGTTTTTCGAATTACATTTTCCTTTAGTTTTGTCTTTGCCCACTTTATATTTTGACATACCTTTTTACCTGCAGACAAATACTAGTGTGGCCAGCTCTCTTGGGACATATTTCTTGCCGCAGATCACTCTTATCTTTTTGGATATGCTCAATGTTTACAGGTGTATTTGGATTTCGTTGGAACTCTGTGTTTTTAGTTGTTTTTCATCCTTTTTTTGTTTGTCTGTTTTATAACAATTTTCTTTGAATGCACCAGAATGTATAGTGAACTTATATCTACCAGTATTGCCCAAGGAGGACCCTATGCTTCCAGATCATCTCTCGTGAAACTTTTGCGGTAAGTTTTCAGTTTTGGAATTAAATATGATTTTGTATTTTCTCTGACATTTATCTCGGCCATGTCAATTTTTAACAGCTCAGTCAAGAGGGAAACACTGAAGCTTATCGAGACATTTTTAGACAAAGCTGAAGATCAACCTCATATAGGAAAGCAATTTGTGCCTCCAATGATGGACCCTGTTCTGGGGGACTATGCACGAAATCTACCTGATGCAAGAGAGTCCGAAGTTCTCTCACTTTTTGCCACAATAATAAATAAGTATGCATGCTTTTCTGTGGGTGTTTGTGTGTGGCTAGCAGTGTGGATCCTCATGTGTGTGTACATAAATGTATAGGACACTAGAAGAGGATTATGCTGTTGCAGTGTTTTATATCCATAGTGCTTCTAGTATACCTTGGTTCTTATAATGTGTTGTGATATTGATGCTTATCAGAATTATATATTGTGCTTGCTTTATTTTTCCAATTAATTTACCTTTTTCTAATTGCGCTTTAAAGGTATAAGCGGGCAATGATTGAAGATGTACCTCGAATCTTTGAAGCTGTTTTTCAGTGCACTCTGGAGGTTTGTCTTCAGTTTCTTGTTTATAAATAGTATGTCAATTTTTCATCCTTTTGACCTTTTTCATCTTTTTTCTACCTTGGCTTATCTTGCTCCATTTTGGACTTTCAGTGGAAGACTTGATGTCTTGTTCTCTCAGCACTTTTTTTTCCCCTTCAACTCTTAATTTGAGATCTTTGTAAATGTGAATAGTTTTCTGGTCTGCCGTCAATCTATAGTTGTCCATACCTAGCAATGCTTTATGTATAAGCTAACAATTATTCGTACGATAAAAAATGGTACTGCAATATACTGTTCATGATTGAGCTTTCATTACCCCCATCAGATATTAAGCCAGGGTTAATTTTGATGATAGGTGCTCAGTTTCACCTTTTGTGTCGTGACGTCATAATTGTTTTCCTTTGCAGATGATAACTAAGAATTTTGAGGACTATCCCGAGCATCGACTCAAGTTCTTTTCACTACTTCGAGCCATTGCAACCCATTGTTTTCCAGCTCTGATCCTCTTGTCCAGTGAGGTATATATATATATTATACATCAAAGAAATTCAGTTAAATGTTTCTCTTTGTCTTCTCCATTTATTATGTCTTTCTTTTCGTTATTTTTTATCAGTGCATATATTATGTCTTTCTTTGTTCTACTGTTCTATGCCAGCAACTGAAACTTGTCATGGACTCGATCATTTGGGCCTTCCGCCACACTGAACGAAACATTGCAGAAACTGGGCTCAATCTTTTATTAGAGATGATGAAAAATTTTCAGGCGTCCGAGTTTTGCAATCAGTTTTACAGGACATATTTTTTAACAATAGAGCAAGAAATCTTTGCTGTTTTGACAGACACCTTCCATAAGCCTGGGTTCAAGTTACATGTCCTCGTACTTCAGCATTTGTTCATCCTGGTATTATAACTATTCTAACTTCTACACAGCACAATCCTTTTCCTTAACCATCTGAATTAACCATGCTCTTATTATTATATTCTAATTTTCCATAATCGAGTTTTTTTGTTCCTTCTTACCAGTTAGTTTGATACTTACAACCGTTTTTCCATTACAATATAATAGGTGGAAACTAATGTGTTGACCGAGCCCCTGTGGGATGTTGCCACTGTAACATATCAATATCCAAATAATGCCATGTTTGTCCGTGAGTATACTATCAAACTCTTGAGTACATCCTTCCCCAACATGACAGCAGCTGAGGTACTGAAGCAAATCTTGTGCTCGTTGGCTTTTTCTTATTCTGTGTTTCTCAAACTTCGCTAATTTTGTTTTCTGGATCTTTGCAGGTGACACAATTTGTGTCTGGTCTTTTTGAGTCGAGGACTGATCTTCCGTCATTCAAAAACCATATCAGAGACTTTCTAGTGCAGTCCAAAGAATTTTCAGCTCAGGTGAAGTCTCATTCTCGGTTAAACATCATAGCGCCCTTTACCGATGATTTCTTCCTTCGACGCTTATATTTCCTTTGTTACTTGAAACCCTCTCTCTATATATATACATGTAAATATATTATTGTAAATTTACCCATACATATTCTTGATATTCACGCATTTAGTACACTGTACTCATTGGTCTATATATATAACGTGAGATGGCTATAAGTTTTAACCTGTTAGGCTAATACTATAAGCTAGCTGATAGCTGATAAGCTAGCTTATAGCTTATAAGTGATTTTCGAGCTTATAGCTGAAATGCTAGCTTATATGATAAAAGTTTTTGGTTGGTAAAATTAGCTGATAATCTAGTTAAAATAAAAATTTAAACGAGCTTATTTGAAAGCTACCTAAGCCATACTATTATCTAAAATGTTTGTGTCCGTGTATTGTGCAGGACAACAAGGATCTTTATGCCGAGGAGGCTGCTGTTCAAAGAGAAAAGGAGCGGCAAAGGATGTTGACAATCCCTGGACTAATTGCTCCCAACGAGATACAAGACGAGATGGTCGACTCATAAATTGTTAGGAAATTTTGCTGCCATGGCCGATTTTGTCGAATTATTTTTTACCTGGAGTATGCAGTGGTACATTTTATGGGGTTTCCATCTGTGTAGTTTTTTTTTTTTTCCAATCTATTTTTAGGATAATTTTTATCTGTGTGAAACGGTGGAGCAAATTTGAGGCAGTCAGGTCTTCGCTACCCATTGGATTATTTTGATGGTGGTAGAATATTTTAGATTCTAATGTAGGAAATGGATATAGTTTCGTTAATGGACTACTGGGATCTGTTTGTGACAATTGTAGTGTGTCTTCGGCAGTCGCCTCTATGTGGGCGACTCAGAATACTATCTCCATGTATACACACATTTAGTGGGTTGTGAAAAGATTTCTCAATTTACCAATTGGTATGTTAATTGCGGCTTCACACGTCATCGTCTCTCTAGATACAATGCTCCTCCTTCTGAATAGTCTTCTGGTGGCTATTGGATATAATTTTTTTCTTTTAGGTTTGTTTAATGGTTAAACAATTATGTTTTCAGTAAATGTATGAATTTTCATATACAAGTGTTATACTTTGCGCTGCAGTATAAATGTAAATATGACGTTACACTATAAATATGCAATTTTGGTAGGAATGACTAATATATAGAGCCATGAGAGACATATGGAGATATATTGATTCACATCTCAATCTGTAAACAAATCCCATAATTATGAATCTCAAGGTAGCTCTTGGGTAATTTTATATAGAGCTATGAGACGTGGAGATATATTGATTCACATCTCAATCTGTAAACAACTCCCATTATTATGAATCTCAAGGTTGCTCTAGGGTAATTTACAGTTCACCGGGAAAAACATAAAATGAAAAGATACTGAAGCTGGATCCATTAACCCGTCTCCCCATTTTAGTAATCAACTCTCTGAAGTTGAAACTGGATTAAAAATGCAAATACCATTCAACAATGCACACCAGCGTACTTGGAATATCGATCTACAATTTGTAAAGGTGAAGCGAAATACAGTGCAAATAGGCAAGGATCAGGAAATAATGCCCATCTCAAGAAGGTTCTGTATAAAGTGCATTCTGCCCAGAATCATTACAATTCAGTCTCGTCGAGAAAAAACTCAACCGTCCAACTTCTCACATCATGTTCTAACAAAGGGTTTTTGGGCTAAAGTTTTTGCCAATGTTAAGATTCCTTTTGCATTGACTGCGTTGGACTAGGATTTGGCCTAGATGATTTGATGTTGTCTTCAGTGGTCTCCATGTCCATTGTCGTGTTTTCGCCAGTCTCAGCTTCCTGTACTTCAGCCATTATTTCATCCCTGTCATCTGTTGAGGGGTTTTCGGCCCCATTCTCGGCTAGCTCAGGATGAGGCTGCGCAACCACACTTTCCTCATGGGCCCCATTGGAATTTTGTTCAGTGGCAATTGGATACGGGTCGGTTGAGACTGTTAACATTGACGTAACCAATAAATTCTGCAAGACAGAGATTACCGGATGACTGAGATTGTATATGCAGATCTATAGGGAAAAGGAGGTTGGCTGTCCTTTTAACTAGCTGAGAATTTTCCCATGATTACTTCTTTATTCAAATACTTGTGAAGCTTTTCTGACAAAAATAAATAAATAATTGATCGGATATATTTTGGCTTGATCTCACTATTTACTGCATNACCATTTTGTCACACAGGAGTAAGCCAGGCGAGAACCAAAATAATAATTTTGTGCATGACACTAGTTGACCTAATGATCAAACTCTGTATGAATAACCAATGCTAGGTATTCAGGTCAACCGGGCTCCAACAGATCTAGTGTCATTGCATCACAAGCATAATGAAGAGCCAATAGTACAAACCTATAGATTTATACGTTTGTACCAACAGCCACATTACACATTACAGTACAAGTTGTCCAAATAAGAATAACTATACACAAAGCCCACTTCCAAACAGTATAAGTACTCCATATTTGAACATACCTTCTCTAGAGCCAAAGAAAGCTTTGAAAGCTTTGGATACATGCTTCTTGGAGCCAATAGGATCTGTTCAATAAGTGGCAACAAGACACATCATCAAAGTGGTTTTAGCAAACTTTGTACCAAATGTTTAAGGTCGTATAAGGTACAAACACATGTTTATATGGCTGAGAGAATGCATGAAGTCATAGCCCACTTTCAATGCCAAAAATACAAATGTAGCTTCATATAAGCAAAGAATTAAAGCCAACAGAAAAACTGTAAGATGGTTACCTCGCAAAGTCTTTGCAAAGTAAATGGTGGGCCTTTGTCAAAGCTATGAAGAGCTGCAGAACATAATAAATACAACATGAAAATGATAATACTCTGACAAAGTCCCACTCATACCATGTAGCCCCCTTGCTCAAAAAAATAAATTTTAAGATCCTAGAAGTGGACTAAAAACTATTCGTTGAATGGCTCCAGGTGCTCCACTGGCAATGTGATCTTATGATAAAAAAAGGGCTACGACCGCTCAATGAAGGCACACACATATATAGATAAGCAGATGCAGCGTAGTTTAGCAGTTTACTTAACTGCCCAAATAACTTCAGCTTTTAGATAAAAGACTTGAGGAGCCAAAGAAAAGGTAAGAGATAATAAATACTGAACAGACTTTCCTTGGTTCGAAATATCAAAAGGTTGTTGCTAAATTAAGTATACAAAAAACAAAGAGACACCATTCAGGACCCATGTCCAGACCAGCCAGTAGAGTGAAAATAAGGAGGGTATGTCACAGGAAAGTACCATGGTCCAACCTTTCCACCAACTCCTGAAATGTCTCCCCAAGAGAGGTAATCTGCTGCTCGCTGGTCATTGAGGCCTCTGGATATTGTGAGAGGACCTTTTGCAGAGGATTATAAAGAATAGTCAAGAATCAAAATATAAACAGAACTTCACAGAACAAAATCTACAATTGGAGGCAAATCAATCTTTCGTTCAATTCATCGAATCCATCTTGGGTTGAAGACTGCAAAATAGAAACAATGGCATCTCCAGAAGTATGATTACAATCTTGCGTACCTCCCCATACCTGCTTAAGATGATAGGACAGAATGCTCTTCAAATTTCCCCAATCTAGCCTGAAATAACATAACATGAAATAGCCACAAATAAATAAAAAACAAACGTCAAATTTAAGTCACCAATTAGAATAGTTGTATAAAAAGAAAACTATATGCAACCGGCTACAAAGACAACTATAGGAAACAACGAAATGATCCAGCGTCTGACATATGCATCAATTATACGAAAAAAAATTAAATTAGTGACAAAAGCATACCAAAACTCCCCAGTGGATGCGCTTTTCTGCAGTGCGGCTCTTACTTCTTCTTCTGAGAACGTTGTTTGAGAGTCCTGCTGCATTCTGTGTTCTTACACCGGGAAGGAATATAGTCATACTTTTGATAGCATAAAAGGAAACACTAAAGTGCAAACCCATTACGACAACAATGCAAGTAAATGATGATATGTAAGTTTTGTGGTAAAATGTAAATCAGACATTGTTTCCATCCCTCTAGCAATTTCTTACCACATGCTTACAAAATAATCCGTCAACGCGTACTTAATGTATATCTATAAACAAATCAAGCTAATAGTTCGCTGATTTCATACCGCTCAAGCACAAGCCACTAACTCACCAAAAAACACAAACTCAAATTGTGAAAAGAAGAGGCCAACTAAATTTTATACATTGCCCTACCCAAAAAACATATACTCAAACTACCAAAAGGGGTAAAGTACTTAGTACATCAAACTGCACATACAAAAAATGACATGTTAGCTGAAATAAACATATAGAAGGGGCAAGCCCAGTGCACTTTACAACATTGACCGAAACAATCGACTTCAAAACATTCAAATTGCGGAAGCAACAGATGAAAAAATTAACTAATCCATTACTGGTTTGACACATACACACACATACAAGTAAACATTTGACAAAGTGATAGGCTATGTTCTTCATCACGCACTCTACAGCTGTAAAAATATCCATAATAATCTGAGCTTCTAGGTCGGTAATTAGTTAAGAAAACGAAAAAATCAATTCAAACGAGAAGATCAAAAGCTCGTACCCATGATTCGGCAGCACTTCGGGTGCACAATTATCGCGCAGTACGCCGTCATCTACAACGGAAGAATTTTCCAAAACAGATGGATTCTCCAAAATCTCATTCACTGACGTCGCCATTAGCTGATTTGGTGGAAGTTCATATAGCTTGAAAAGGACCAAATTTACAAATGGTGTTATGCCCCTTTTCAGAGGTGAAGTGCAGGTGAGAGATGGAGATGGAAAGTGTGAACTAATTCGCACTGTTCTTGAAAAATAAACAAAAACAAAATGATGTTTTTGCATTATGTTTGATATGCACCAACCCGAAATAAATAAATAAATAAATTATGATATATTTTCTTTAGTTTTATAATAAAAATAATTTGAAAGTAGTCATCTGATACGACTTATTTGACAATAATTCATCTAAATTAATATTTTATTATATAAGTACAAATATATATAATTTAAGCATGTGCATTAAACATCCAATCCTTTTATCCCTTAATAAGAATATATTTTATTTAGTTAACAAAATAATTTGCTTGGTCACAAAGAACACAACAAACATTATAGAAGTGAATTTTAGGGGAAAAAATATTCTGATAGGTAAATTATGAAGTGCTTATAATTTCAAGAAATTTTGATAGGTAACTTAAATCTATCTATACTTATATTAAAAAGGTACTATTTACTAAATTAAGTAGCCAGAAAAGTCAACAACATTTATTACATTACTACTAGTACGTGGCCCGTGCGATGCACGGGAAAATAATATTTTGATTGTATTATAAATTAAATAAATAAATAACAATAATCATGATTTACGCATTATTTATAAATTAAACTGGGTTGGACACAGTCCGCCCGGATGGACCGAGAACCGGTTTATAACCGATTTAGTGCGCTTGAATAAAATATTTACTATCGAAACCGCCAACACCAGTATGTTGGACTGGTAAGATCGATACGATTTTCTAAACAAATTTTGTTACATGAAAAATTATTTTAAATAAAATTACATATTTAAATAAAATAGAGATTTATAAATTGTTTATCAATTAGTTTAAACATTTGAATTTAAAAATTGTTTAGATATTTAAGTAACACTTTTTATTTAAATTTATTACAAAAAGTATTATGTATTAAAATCCGAACAACCATAAGACGGCCCAATTCTGAAAACCTTATATTTACCGTACATTAATAAAAATGATAATCAAATAAATATTTTGTTCACATAAATAATGATAAAATGATATATAAATATTCATAATTCATTAATCATGTTGTCATAAAAGTATTGTTAATATGATTATTTGAAGTTTGGACTACATCACATTCACGTAATAAAGTATTTTCAATATTGAAATTTATATTTAGGTTCAATAATCAATTTGGTCTGGTCAAACTGATACATAACTTAGTTACCTCGGACCAACCAAGTTGTGTCAAGTTTTTTGACTATTTTAAATATCACCTAAAAGTAATTCAATCAAAGTGGGCAATACCTTAATTCAATCACCCGATTGATCCAAAGTAATTTCCTTATTTTTCTTTAAATATAATATTTAATTTTATGAAATAAAAATATTTTATGATTCATATGTCTACACCAAATGATAGTATATTAAGATTATAAATTTAAGCATGTGCATAAATTTTATGATTCATATGTCTACACCCGATTGATCCAAAGTAATTTCCTTATTTTATGATTCATATTTCTTTAAATATAATATATAATTTAAGCATGTGCATTAAACATCCAATCCTTTTATCCCTTAATAAGAATATATTTTATTTAGTTAACAAAATAATTTGCTTGGTCACAAAGAACACAACAAACATTATAGAAGTGAATTTTAGGGGAAAAAATATTCTGATAGGTAAATTATGAAGTGCTTATAATTTCAAGAAATTTTGATAGGTAACTTAAATCTATCTATACTTATATTAAAAGGGTACTATTTACTAAATTAAGTAGCCAGAAAAGTCAACAACATTTATTACATTACTATTTCCGTATTATACTATATAAAAGGATATTTTATTTACTACATTTACTATCCAGAAAAGTCAACTGCATTAAATGTCATTACTATTTTGGTATTATAAAATTTTATTTATTTAATTGATTTATTTATTTATTTTATTTTAAAATGGTAAGTATAATAAAAAGATTTTAATAATAAAAAAATTAAATACCAAATAAAAATGTACACTTTGACTTATTTGATTATATTTGGTATTTGATTATCCAAATATATTTCTATTTAGTATATACATTAAATACTTACTAAAGTATTTATTTGTTTTATTTGTCAAAGTTAAGTATAGATTTGTTTATATTATCAAATCATAACATATTGTAAAAAAAAAAATTATATAATTTTATAACAATTCTACTACACTATTAACAATATTCCTTTTTTATTATATAATAAATTAATAATTAAATATTATATGGTGAACAACAATAAGTAAAACTGTTAATTTTTCTTATATCAAGGGATAAATTTATATGCTAAAATTAAATTTTTATTAGTATAAATGTTTCAGTGAGATAATATATTAATTATTTTACAAGCTAGCTCTAACATGCTCATATTTAATGTTTTAAAAGATGTAGAAAAAAAACTTATAATAACTCTATTGTTTTTTAGACTTAAACGTTGATTAAAAGAGGTAAAAATTTCTAATTTTTTAGACTTAAACGTTGATTAACACCATAGATTGAGAGTTTATATTTAGTAAAATTCCTAATTGTAATAAAAAAATTAATTTTTGCTATATTTTAGAATATCTTTAAATTCACTAAAAAAAAAAAACTACAATGAAAAAAGCAAGTCAACTATATATCGATTTGTTGTACTCCTCAAATCACATTCACAATACATTCACAATTTGGCTACAAGGAAAGGAAACTCATTGATTAAAATATTATTTTGTCAGTAGTCTTAATGTACAAGAGACTTTAAGACTCCACTTGAATATTATAAAACTTTTATTGAACATTGTACAATTTCTTGCGTATTATAAACTTTTACTAAATATTGCATCTTATAATATAATATTCTCCAAATAAATATATCTCGTGCTTCGCACGGGTCACGTACTATATATATCCCGTACATTTTTCTTTATTCATGTATATAATTATAAGTCTGGATAAATAGCCTTAAAATTATGCACTACGTGCATCGCACGGGCTCTGTACTAGTTACAATAAATAAGCTATAAAAATAATTTAAGTTAGTAAGTATTTTATTACTTTAAATATTATAACCAATAAATTAAATATACGTGAATTAACATATAAAAAACGTTACATACAAAATAACAAATATACTTGCGAAACAATAAACTTTTAGCTATACACTTGAGAAATTGTGAATTAACGTACGTACGTAGGTTTGTCTTGTATAAAAGAACATTATTCGATCACTTTGTATGCGATAATTATTCAAATTTCAAACACTTTGTCTCCGTGTTCGATTAATAAATGATCCAATATTGATTGTTTATTACTCGGAACGAAATCATGAAAGTTCGACTCGACTCGTTTAGTAAATTTAAATTTTAATAGAATTGTTTACTAACATATTCGATCATTTTGTTCATTTGGATCCTATAAAAAAAGTTACAAGAAAATTTAAACAAATTGTTTGCGAATAAGGTCGTCTAGGCTCGTTAAGAAAAAACGAGTTTGATTAGTTATTCAAACTCCACTTATTTACTTCAATAAATAAACCAACCTGAACCGAGTTGTGTTGGTTAACATCTCAATTCGAATAATATCTCTATTTGGGTGTAGACATCTCGATTGTTGGGCTATTAATTTCTTAAAGGATAAACCGGAAGAGCTCATGTTACAATTGGCCTCATACTTGGGTTTGCCCTTCACGTTAACGGCCCAACTCAACCAGCCCATATGTCCATGCGCGTCTCATGCTATACTACGCAGGGAGGCTCTGGCTCTGGGTACGACGGACACAACTCGTGCGCCTGATAGTAGAGTCAAACATCACAGAGCCACACATATACATACACGTATACATACACATGCTTCTCTTTCACAAAATCCTCTGTTCTCTTCAACCAAACTCACAATCAATCCCTGCAATTAGACCAGAATTCACCCTAATATGAAATCCCCCAAAAAGTTTTGAATGGGAACCCTAACCCTAACCCTAGATGCATTACCGATTACTCGCCGAGATCGTTGAAAATTCCGGTTGATTTTTGTCTTTTTCGTGAATTGCCGATTATATCCCTTGTTTTCCGGTTGGGTCCTGTGTTTGTTTTTCGTGATGATTGAATCAAGGGGCCGGCGGAGTTATCTGTGCTTCATGTGATTTTCTATATTCTCGTGCTTTTTGCATTTCAGCTTTTTTGATAGTTTTGAAATAGAGCATTGCCCTTAAGCCTACTGTAGAGGAGCGTGAGGGAAAATAATGCACTATCAAGTGAGCTTAAGATCGCAGAAATAGGAATTATTCTATGCACTTGCAATAATCTGTGGTATAATAGGTACTGTATCAGATATTTGTGCCGAGAGAGGGAGAGAGAAGAAGAGAGAAATGGATAGCTCTGAAACGGGAGGAGGAATGGCTGATTGTAGTGTGGGGAGTATAGTTTGGGTTCGAAGACGTAATGGATCTTGGTGGCCGGGAAAGATACTTGGACCTGATGAGCTTTCATCTTCTCTCATTACGTCTCCCCGTTCTGGAACTCCTGTCAAACTTCTTGGGAGGGAAGATGCTAGTGTGTAAGTTAAAATTTTCATCCAGGGTTGTAAGTCTGTCTGATCTGTTGGATTCTTAGTTTCATGATCAACTTATTAATTGAGCTACATTCGTGCTTAATAACATGTGTACCAATTATTGCACATTTTGTGGTCGGAGTATGTGACTTGGATCATCAATGGGCATTCTTCAGAGCATTACTACTTCTTGAATTGTATTGTGAATTGAGGATGTGGTTGCTATACTAGCTTGGCTTAAATGTTAATTGTTTATAATGTGGAAGATTAACATCTTTCCTTGATCTCTGTTAAGTGTATGTTTAACAACATGCTGAATTCTTCTCTGGTTTATCATTTCTGTAATCATCTTGTAATGAACTGAGTCTTCAAGGACTGTATTGTATAACAATTTGCACACTCAAGTAAATAAAAATAATTTGTCCTTGATATGTATTTGGACTAACTGCTTAAGGCTGTGCAGCTAAGTATCATATCTTCTTCTGGGTTTTGGCTGTTAGCTTCTGGTTCGTTTTTGTTTTTTTTTATGCTGTGCATTTTGAGCATGATTCCAATGAAACAATTTATTTAGATAGAAAGGTCAGTTGAGGCTTTTGTTGGATGATATGCTGTGTTGCTGTGCCATGAAGGCAACTATGTATCTTTATGAACAAGGGGTTTGTGGAAATCTGCTCTACTTTGTGGGGAAATTTATTAGAATCAATTTATCTGCTGTCATGTCTTCATGAAAGAACTGCTGCATGTTTGTGTTGCAGTTAAATGTTTTATGCTAACTGACCCAAACTTTTAAGCTTGTTTATGACTTTTAAATTGGACAAATCTTTTATGTCAAGTATGCTTTACATGAATGGCTTATATGGGACTTTGCATGTGAATAAAGTTCCACAAACTCCAGACTGGGAATTCCTGTTACTCTATAATTTTGCCCAGCACAAATGAAAATTATGAGTACTTAGGATCTGCTGCTTGTGAGCTGGTTTGTATTTTCTTACATTATGGTCATTGTATCAAATGCATCTGATAATTTTTTTATTAATTTGTTGTAGAATTCTGTCACTATTTTAGTTAAATGCGCAAGAAGTATGTATCTCTTTTAATTCATTGCCCAGTCCGCGCTTTTGTATGATCTTTCTAACAACTTGCTATTCATATTACCAGGGATTGGTACAATTTGGAGAAGTCAAAACGTGTAAAGGCATTCAGATGTGGTGAGTTTGATGACTGTATAGAAAAGGCTGAAGCTGCTCAGGGAATGCCACCCAAGAAAAGAGAGAAATATGCACGCCGCGAAGATGCTATAATGCATGCACTTGAACTCGAGAGGCAATTATTGGAGAAGAAATATGGGAAATTGGGAAATTCTTCTAATGGTAGGAGCAGAAGTTCACCAGATGCTGTTACTTCTTCGATATACTTGGGGAATGGAAGTGGAAACCAAAATGATTCCAGATTGGATCAGCTATCGCAGAAGGTAGGTTCGTCTCTTCCTGAGAAGAATAGAACAAATCAGAATATGTATGTGAAGATGGTTAAGGAGGAAACCCAACTCAGTGGGGAAGATGATAGTGCTGGTGCGCTACCTCGAATGAGAGGCTTGCAGGACTTTGGACTCCGTACTGCGACACCACGTGAGCTTTCTTGATCAGTTGCTTCGGATTTCATTAATAATTCGTTTGTGTTGATCTTTCTCTANGGTGGGGGGATGGGGAAGGTGAGATATAATTTGTGGATATGCAATCATTTCAAGCACTAGAGGTCTATTAGAGAATGAAGAAAGTTTAGCTTGCTCTGTCACTGAGGTTGCAACATGGTATGATATCATTTTGGTGACTGTGTTTTTTCTCTAGATAATATTGATGGTTTCTGAAAGAATAAGCTATGAGTTTGGAGTTTGATTATAATTGAGCTGAAAATGGAATGAAGTGTTATAAAAGTAGTTGACTGATGATAAAAATGTCATTAGTTTGAAACTTGTGAGGGATTGGATGGTAAAATTAATGGGAAAATGTGTATTATCGATTTTCTGTTGTCTGAAAAGCTGGGTGGATGTTATTGTTGTGAGAAAAAATGAAAGCAGGATAAATGAACGAAATAGCAATCAATCATTCCCTGAATCTCCCATCAGAGGGCAATTACTGACATCCCTCTTGCTTTAGTACTGAAACTTGTGTTAGATTTCTGGATTTTCAGGTTACATTATTGTTCTGTTTCCATCTCTCAGGAGAGGAGCTCTCAGGAGTTGCATTTCGCGCTAAAAGGAGTAGAAATGCTTATCTGCCATATGATTCTGTGGAATATTTAATTGATGACCAAACTTTGTCCTCCCAGTTAGAGATACCAGTGTCTAAAATTGAAGAAAGCAGCTACCAAGCTGACATGGGTGAAAACCACAGTTCAGGATCTACAGAAGATACTGAAACGGATTGTTCTGACACGGATTCACTAGAATCAGACTCAAATGACGAGATGACTGCACTCTCTGGTGTGATTTCTGCTTTCTTTTCTCTTTTTCAGTCAGCAACATTGTCTAATCACTGTGGTTATCATGTTCTTTATGAAGGCGTTTATTATCATCCTTCAAAAGTTGGGCACTCTTATCCTATTTTGCTTCATTCATAATTTTGCTTTATGATTATCCTTGCCTGATTTGTCACACAACTACATCTACTTATAAAATTTAATTTTGCTTTGAATCCAATTCCAAGAGTTTTTGTTGATCCTTTTTAATGAAGGATTTCTGTGTTGTTGTAGGCTATTTCTTATTGCTCAATGATTTTCCTTACTTGAGTCTTTTTTTTTTTTTCCTCATTACTCTTCATTTGACACTTTAATGTCTGATTATTTCATCTGATATCCTTGCCGGAGTTATTTTATTACCATTAATGGCCGTTTTTTTAATACAACATCAAAGTTCCCACTATACGACCTACTGCATTTCTGGGTTTGCAGATGGTTCAGCCTCTATAGAATTGCAACCTAAATACCCGAGAAGAATCGAAGCACCAGAAGAACATGCAAGCATCAGCAGCAGTGACGACTTTGACGAGTTGGCATTTGCCGACAATTCCTCTCATCCTTACCTGCATGGCCATGTATCAACCAAAACCGGGGTTTCGAAATGGCAGCACAAAGGAAAAAGAAATAACCGCAACCTTGGGAACAGTAGCAGAGGATACACGAACAGCAAGAGCTCCAACTGGAGCCCTAGTGTTCCCGAATATGCTGATCGAAGTTTCAAGAGTAATACATCCAAATATGGGCCCAAATCATCTCACAGTCCTTACGAGTTTGTCGATTTCGAGGGTAGCTTGGGTTGGAACAGTCGATCTGCCATGCGAGGGTATTGGGACGATTCGCGTGATGATTTTGTAGGCCGCTATCGTTTTGGCTGTGGTGGGCCCACATTGATGGATGTGGATTTAAAGGTTCAGGCAAACAACTACCGTAGAGATGTCCCGATAATCTCGTTGATGAGCAAGTTGAACGGGCATGCCATTGTGGGCCACCCTATCCAAATCGAAGCACTTGAGAATGGTCTGACCGAAACCTATGTTTCGTCAACTGACTATTTCGTCCCCAGCCCGACCCCACTGACTTCAATGTGGAGGACGGGTCGTAGGACGGCGAATTCCCGTGTTCCACGCCCGTTTTTGCCATCAATGCTTAATGGTGAGGGGAAGGGGAGAGAGTTCGCGAACAAGGGCTCCAATCAAAAGATAAGGGCACTTTCGTCATTTGCATCAGGGAAGCATCAGAGCGACTTGAGAGGTGGTGGTGGGTTGATTAAGAATGGGAATACACACACGACGGTAGCGTGTATACCTGTTAACTTGGTGTTTAGTCGTTTACATGAAGAGTTGGTCGGTCGTCATCAGTAATAATGGACTCTAAATGGATTATATATATATAAATATATTTTGTGGGTGCTTCCTAGCTTTGTGTAAATTTTAGGAGAGCAATAATTTTCATTAACCTCACTATTTTCAATGGTGCCATATTTGATTCTCTGAGTTAAATTAAGCATAAGGTTCTCATGTACTTTGGTTAGATGACTGGCTGTGTTGTAGTTTGCTGAAGGATGGCTATAATTTGCAGCTGCCAAGGATTGTTTTGGGATGATTGTGAGCTTTTGTATACTTTAGGAGCAAAGTTGCTTTGGACTGGTGAAAAAGTAACTAAATACATTGTATATTTATACTAATCTGAACATATGACTTGTACTTTTATCCTGCTTGTGTTTCTGGGTCTTGAAAGCCAGTTTTCTTAGAACCTATACTGATAGGTGAAGATGGTTCACTGGAAGCAACCACAGTCGGGAATTTGTTTGTGATGATGATAATTGTATTAAACATGTGGGAAGGTGATAAAAATATTTGAAGGGAGCATAAAATAAATATATGACATATTGTTAAAGATATGATATATTGTTTGTGATAATGATATTAAACATGTGGGAAGGTGAGAAAAATAATTGAAGGGAGAATAAGATAAAGATATGATGTTTAAAATTGGTTTAATATAAAAACAGTGAAAAAAATAATCAGTGAAAAAACAATTGTTAATGATTAGTTCTTAAATATATTTTAGTGCAAATAGTGTTTTTTAATTGTAAAATATGTACTTGATACTTCAGGAACTGGCTTTAAGCACCTGGAAAGCCCCAGTGAGGGGCTTCGAGCTCAAGCTAGTATATGTGTCAAGAAGCAGCTCTCGACTCGATTGCGTGAGAGTAATAATAGTTGTGATGATTTTACTCTTTCATGTTCTATTTGTACAAATTAATTATCTCTTCTTCAAGTTTGTGACACGCTTAAGATTCCACAAAATTCAAATTAAATTTCTCTTATGCCCACTATGAACTGAAAGCCTTCCTCCTGCGTATTCTATATTTCATAATTTTGTTGTATTTGGTGCTTCTAACTTGTGTTGTTTTTGTTAAATTAAACGAGTCTGGTTCGACTCGACTTGTTAAAGCTCGAGTTCATTTAAAGCTTTAGTTAACGAGTCAAGCTAGGTTCGGCTCATTAAGGCTCAAAAAAATAATTTTTATACAATTTTTTATATTTCGGTTCGTTAAAACTCGAGATTGGCTCGTTAAGGCTCTATCTAACATTTTGAATTGAAAAGTCTTCCTCATGCATACTCTATATTTTATAATTTTGTTGTATTCAATGCTTCCAACATTTATTACCACGACCTATATCGCCGATACATTGTACTAGCTTGATAATAGTTAGGTCATCCAACGACCTTAGTTTGAGCCCAATCACTCATATCTTCAACATCTCATCGACCTCCGAATCGGAACACTAGTTATCAATCGAATCAAACTTTTAGATTAGACTTTATCCTTTACTGATTTAAGTGGTTAAAATAGTAATAATAATAATAATAATAATAATAATAATAATAATAATAATAATAATAATAATTCCCTTATACATAATTTCAAAATGCGCTGAACTTAAGTGGCAGGCTCGCCCGCTTCAGAATCCTGCTTGGTGAAAAATCATGCTTCGTAATTTGGTTTGGATAGAAAATAATGTTATTCTAAATCAATAATTTTAGGTTCGGACATTTCATAAATAGTAGAAAACTAATTTGAATAATTCCATAATACTTTAACTAATATAACTCTTAATTTGTTTTGTAATCTTACTTATTGTTGTTTATATGACCCTAAAATTTGTTTTGGAATCTCTCACTTTTTCAAACTGATGTTATGATCAAAATGACTAATATATCAAATTTTTATACATATATATTAAATTTTTATATATGATATATCAAATTAATCATGTCTTGATGAACTTTGTTTTGACATCTATATTACACATATAAAATAATTAAATAATTTTATTTATATTTATAATTAAAATTTAATTATCTATTAATATTAATTCAAAAGAATATAATTATTTAGACTAACTTAACTACAAAATAGTTTTCTGATATAAATTAGAAAAATATATAATATAAGATGGTAAGTCGTGTAACTGACGGTGCAATATTAAATATAAATAATAATATATTTTTAAAAAAAGTATTTAAAACTAAAATAATTTGTTGTTGTTATTATTATTTAATTTGAATATAATTTTTTTAATAAGTACATGTGTAGTACACGAACTAGTTATTATTATTATTATGAGATGACAAAGAATAATCAATACAGAATATCTTATCCAAGCAAAAATAAAAATGTACACATAGAATTTTCGTTACCACCTTACATTTTGGTATTGTCCAAAATCCAATTACATGGTATGAATTAGATAATATTATTTTGTGTACTTTTAAATCCATATAATTAATTAGATTTTCTAGTCAATCTATTTCAGAAGGTCCACCAAGTCTCGCCACAATAATTCGAAACTTCGAATGACTCAAGTACGAACGCAATCCCGCGCAAAATTTTTGCTGAAATTGAAATTCGTTCACAACACATTTACTTATATACCCTTCAGCCACCAGACATTTACGCGTTTAATATTTTTCTCTGTCTCCCAGTCTCGCACTCTCCCACCAAGTCTCCCGTTCTCACAGATATTACCAAATCCCACCTCAATAAGCAGCGGTGGATATGGCCGACTTTCAATCGGAAAATCCGCCATCTGCTCCGCCTCCACCGGAACTTGACTCGAACTCTAATCCGAAAACTCCTGTTCGAAACAGTAGAGATGAAGCGTGTGCCGATATGGATACGGAGAGTTTTCCGAGTTCCAACGGCCTTTCCGCCGGAAAAATGTCTAATGTGAGAGTTGAGACCCTTAGAATCTCTGGAAATCACAGCTTTCGGCGGTCCCCGAGACTGGTTAACAATGCCAAAGGCGAGAGCGCCGCGAAGGAGGTGAACTCCGCCAAATTGAATGGTTTCGTGGAGAAATCTCCTCCGTCGAAGAAGCACAAGAGTGAGAAAAAGGTTTCGTTCTTCATTGGAGATCCTATTCTCGAGGACGAAGCTCGGAGACGTTGGCCCTGGCGGTATGCGAAAAATAAGGTGTGTTCTGCATCACTAACCCTCCTTGGTGTTCTGCCAGATCACAAATCTGTCGTTAGAAATGCTGCTTAATGTAATTATGTTGGTTAATATTTGGAAGGCATGAGGTGAAATACTGCTTAATGTGATTGTGTTGGTTACTACTTGGAAGGTATAAGGTTTATTTGGTGTACGAAGATTAACTTTGAAAATTCTTGAGCATGTGGTTTGAAGAATGTATTTAAGATTTCTGTTATTTAGTCACATGACGTTCAGATTTCCATTTAGCGCGATTATGTGGTTCACAAGGACGACCTGGAGTTACTGGAGGAGTTTAGAAAGTCATCGCGTCCTTTCTTTGTGAAAATGAAATGGAAATGTAATTGGGTTCCTAATTGACTATTGCTGAAATTTTGATCCATGTGGTAACTGATAATGTGAATAGTACTATGTTGTGCACTTGAGACATCAAGTGCATGGTGAAGCAAGAGAGCGAAATGCTAGGTCAAAGGCGACATGATAAAAAAAATCTTGCCAACAGTACCAAATTTCCCAGACTATGTAAGCTGAATCAAAGCCAAAAAGGCACTACAAACCTCATATTCACTTTCTCAAGCAACATTGTTTTAGCTATGCCTCTATAAAATTCTCAACGCTCTCCATAATTGATCTAAGAAAGGGGAGCTGAATTAGTGTTGGATTAGAAGAAAATTGAGAGGAAAAATATGAAATGCATGCCTTGATACTTCTATACATGAAAATTGTGCTTGATACTTCTATACATTAAAATTGTACCCCTACACGCTACATGCTCTGCCCTTAGGAAACAAATATCAACCCTTAATGATATCATGCCCCTCTCTACTGTGCTTAAGAGAGATAATACACAGCTGCCTTTACTCTGAGCTGCTTTTGATTGAATTGGGCTCCTCGCTGTCCATGAATAACATGGAAATTGTTGGTGACACCTCATATTGTGTACAGGTGAGGACTTCCGCCTGCCCACTGGTCCAGAAAGATTTTGATTTATAATCATCTGCAGTGTTGAAACTTCCTATTGGCTTTATTATTTATCCTTCACGGACGATTTTCTCCAATTCGCGATCTAGCAATTTCCTTATCTTCCAATATCATGCCCATGCCATAGACAACTAGAACTAGTGGTGAACTTTCTTTGTGTTGGAAACTTGGGATGCTTATAAGCTGAGTGGCTTGGTGGAATTAGATTACTTTTTCAACTTTGGTTGACCTACTCTAGATGATAACAATATATTTATTTGATCAAGATAGCTGTGCCTGTGCCTTTTCTGAAAATAAACCGCAGCATGTTTTGCTAATAATGATATCTATTCACTGAGCATCGATTGTTGGACATGTATCAATCTGGCATATTATCCACGTGTTTCACTTTTACTCACAGTCTCATTTGTCCAAATAGTTAAATTTTTCAATGAAAAGGTAATAGCAATTGTTTTAGGAAAGAGTTGTCACTATTTCAAGAAATTGTAGGGAGATTACCACTATATTATTAGACTATTAAACTTTTTATTGCCAGAGCGCTGCGTGAATTTGAAGCTATCCTATAAAGATCGAAATCTCTGTTAAAACAAAACTCTATTTACAGCTTACCAACTTTCAATGACCACAAAAAAGTATCCAAGCGTGGAAGACTTTTCTTGACAAAGAAGTGAAGTGAATTTCAATGCATGTACGTCCTATTTTGTGAACTTGTAAATAAAAAAAGGGATTTATTTCTTTCCGTTATTGTTGTAGGGTCTACAAAATAATGGATTACGGTCGAAAACAAAGTAAGTGATATAGTGATTCATCTGTTGATTTTGTGACTTATTTTAATTGCCCTACATCATTTAAGTTGTTGCAACCTTTGTAGGATTGAAGATGACGATGGTGATGAGGAGCTTGTTTTGGACATTAAATGTCACTATTCTCAAGCTGAAATATTGAAGACCGTATTCAATCTTGGTGATTGTGCGTATGTCAAAGTAAGTTTTCTCTAATATCTAATATCGAAGTGTCTGTTCGAAGGGACGCTGAAAACGTTATGGTGCCTGGCCAAAAAAGAAAATATTGTTGTACTTGTACTTTATATCCATATTACTGCACACAAATGTTGTTATTAGTATAGTTGCAGCTCTACTGACCTTTTTCCACTCTATACCATTGTTGCTGTCAATATTTACAGGGTCCAAAAGGAGGATCTGATTATGTTGGCAAAATTTTAGAGTTTTTCGAGACTATGGACGGTGAAGACTATTTTAGGGTTCAGTGGTTTTTCAGAGCTGAAGATACGGTGGCAATTATTATATTTGTTGTTACGTTTTCCTGTCATAACTACTTTTTTTTTTTTCTTAAAGTATTTCTCACTGAAATTTCGTAATTTGCATACCTTTTTCAGGTAATAAAGGACGACGGGATATCTCATGACAAGAAACGATTATTCTATTCTACTTTAATGAACGATAACTTATTGGACTGCATTGTTTCAAAAGTTGAAGTTGTTCAAATACCTTCAAACGTATGTCTCTAATTTGTGTGTTTTAACTGTTTGTAATGTAGTAATATTATCTGTAGTTATTGCATGAAAACAATATGCATTTGGGGCTAATTACACTGCCCATCTTTTTAATTGACAATTTTGTCTGTGTGGCTCAGACATCATATGTTAAACCCTTGTATGTTGAGTTTCTTTTGGAAGAATTAGTACAATCTGGCCGCTTTACTCCAAAACAAACCGCACCTCGAGCTTGTAGCTCAAGTGGTAGATCTCGCCCTTTATAAGAGTGCTGTATGGGTTAATACAAAGCTCGTTACCTGTACCTCTCAGTTTCTAAGGTACTTAGACTTCCCTCCCCGCTAACCCCCCCTCTTATTAAAAAAAGTCAAAACAAACTGCATTTCTATAATAGACATACTTTTGAATATATTTTAGGTTGTCAGCTAAAAGTTTATCTTTGTTCAAGTTGATCCCTTCAGATAATTTCACCATCAATTAAGACGTGATTAGAGGGACTGGACTTGTTAAAACACCAATTTTTTAGGTGCTACATTTCTGTAGCACTTAACCACAAGTGGGAAAACTGATTAATGGCAGAATTAGAGGCCAAATATATGATATGTTCTTATTGATTTTTATATTTATATATTTAAGTAGTTTGTTCTATTATGTTCCTGACAAAGTTTCTTGTAGGTTAATTTGAAAGCACAACCCATCCCTCCCTGTGACTTCTACTTTGATATGCAATACTCTGTGGATTACTCGACATTTAGTACCATTGTTAAAGGTAAAATGGATTTTCTGGTGTGCAATGAAAATCACAACGTATGTCTTGCCTTTTATATACTGTAGTGGACAATATAACATTAGAACCCCACTTTTGGTAATTTGATAGACCCTGTTATTTTAACTTCAGGGAGTCTATTATCACTCGTTTTGGCCTAATTCACCGCGGTAACCATGCAGATACTAGTAGTTTGTCTCCTCTTCCTTATCCGCTAATGACATCGACCAAAAAAGAAAATGGAACCTGTAAAAATATCCACCAATGCACTACAGATGAAACAAACAGTAACAAATTATGTAACCCTGAGCTAGCATTACTGGACTTGTACTCTGGTTGTGGTGGAATGTCCACAGGGTTGTGCATTGGCAGTAAAGCCAGCGGTATAAATCTTGTGACGGTAATATTTCATGATTTTCAGCTTACTCAGATTTGGTCTTTCTTTGAACTGCATCTTATTCAGTATACATGACTTCTTTTTAATGAATAAAGAGATGGGCTGTTGATCTCGATGAAGCAGCATGTCAGAGCTTGAAGCTAAACCACCCTGAAACACATGTGGGTATTTAGTTGTTCTTCGGTTTTCACTTCCTAAGTTTCTGGGATTTTTTTGTTTTTGAAATGTCTATCCTTTGGACAGATTAGATGTGGATATGCAGAGGATTTCCTTCATTTGCTGAAGGAATGGGACTCACTGTGTAAAAGGTATGGCAGCCACGAAGAGAAAGACCTCAGGTGTAGGACTAACAGAGGTGCCAGTGAAAACAAAGAAACAAAAGAGAATCACAAAAGATCTTCTGAATACGCCGTGGAAAAGCTAGTAGACATCTGCTATGGCGATCCAACTGGTAACAGCAAAAGGGGGCTTAAGTTTAAGGTGATCTTTTCACTTATGTGCTTGAATACATGTTAGAATCCTTTAAAATAGACAGAAGCAGTAGGCACTGCATTTATTCTACACTTTGTAACTTCATCAGCAATATTTAATGAGTAAACTACATCCAATTCTTTTGATGCATATGCATTTGTTACTTCTTAAGCAAATTTAACAAGTAAACTGCATCCAAACAATTTTGAGTTTTTTATGATTATGTAAATAAATAATAAATACAAAACCTTCATGCTTTTCTTTGAACATAATGGTGAGGGGAACATTTTTTCTGAAGTAAAAATGATGAAGAAATGTTAGTTCCTCCTGGAAAAAGGAAGTATGGTCACATGTAATTCTTACTAATTATGGGGTGCTCATTTCTAGCCTCATTATCAATTCTGGTGTTTTTCCTATCAGAAGGTAAAAAAGAAAAAAAATGAAAAATTAATGTTCCTGGTGCCCCGTTGCTCAATACCTTCCAGAGGTTGCTTTGGTTTATATTGGAATTTGGAAATACGTAATAATAAAGGGAGGGGCCAAATATGATATCCAGAAGAAACTAAATTGCTTCTTCATTTTGGAGAGAAGGGGATGGAAAATTTTAGGAGCAAAATAACCCGTAGGCGTATAGGCCTTTCTAATATACCAAATTTTAGTAGTATGAACTGTTCAAGGTTCTCTCTCTCTCTCTCTCTCTCTCTCCCTCTCTCTCTCCCTCTTTCTCTCTCTACTTTGTTTTCAGCAAGTCCTTCCTAATGGAACTAGCACTTTGCACAAGTAATGAACTGTGCATTTTGTTTTATGTTAGTTTATGAAAAATTGACATACAACCTTTTATATTAAAAAAAATCATGATATGCCTTTTGAAGTGTTATGCCAACTTTACTTTCTTTTAGGTGCGTTGGGAAGGATATGGCCCAAGTGATGATACATGGGAGCCAATTGGTGGCTTGAGGTTTGTTGTGCCAGATAATGAATTATCTAAACTTGAATTATTATAGAGTGATGTACAACAAAAAATTTCTTCTATTTGTCCCTAGCAAATGCCATGAGCGGATACAGGACTTTGTGCTGAAAGGAATGAAAGCAAGGATACTGCCGCGCCCAGTATGTTTGATCTTTTTGCATACTTTTGTGTCTACATTTGGAAAGAAAATAATTTCATGCTAGTAGTGGATGGGACTATGTCAGGTCATCCTAGGGTGAATACAGAACCTGAACAAAACAGTCCTGTAGGAAATCTATCTTTTTGCAGATATTGCTAACCAGGGAACACATGATAAAAAAGGTCTATATTTGTTGTCATATTTATCCTATTGCCCAGATGGATGAGAAAAGAGCAGGAATCTCTGTACAGTATTGCTTTAGATTTGTGATTGAAAATTGTTTATTCGACAGTATTGCTACTGTGTAATTACTCCATTACTTATTATTTTTTCTTGCTCTACATGATCCCAACTTACCACAGGGAGATGTTGCTGTGATTTGTGGTGGTCCACCTTGCCAAGGAATTAGTGGTTACAACCGATTCAGAAATGCTGATTGTCCTCTTGACGATGAAAGAAATCGACAAATTGTAATTTTCATGGATATTATCGACTTCTTAAGGCCAAAGTTTGTCCTGATGGAAAATGTAATTGATATCTTGAGGTTTGCTAACGGCTGTTTAGGAAGATATGCTATAAGCCAATTGGTTCGCATGCATTACCAAGCAAGGCTTGGAATTATGGCTGCTGGTTGCTACGGACTTCCTCAATTTCGATTACGTGTTTTCTTATGGGGTGCTCATCCACATGAGGCAAGTATCCTCATTAATTGTTTTGGAAATCTCGTTATCACATGGTGATCAAGCTTATTTCTTACTTGTCGAGTTAAGGTCCTTTGATAAAAATATTGCTTCTCCAGTCTATTGAACTTCCGTTTGGCTGCACTATTCCTGACAGGTACTACCACAGTTTCCACTTCCAACACATGATGTTGTAATCAAATATGGATATCCTAGTGACTTTGAGGTGCTTGTCAGCTATTTTAAACTCACTAGTTTTTACACAATAAATTTCTTTTGCTAAATCAATCCCATCGTGCAGCGTAATGTTGTTGCTTACGATGAAGGACAACCTCGGGACTTGGAAAAACTTGTTGTTCTTGGTGATGCTATATCTGATCTTCCTCCTGTATGTTTCAGTTATTTACAAATTGATCTAATCCATACATTATACAGTTAGATTCACATGTGGCTTCTATTTAAGGTTGCAAATGATGAGAATCGGGAAAAGATATCGTACAAAAATAAACCTCAAACTGAGTTCCAAAAGTATATCAGAGCAGCTAAATGTGGTAAGGCATCTAATCATTCTCTTCACCAACTATATTCAGGCATCAAGTACATTAGTTGCTTCTTTTCAAGAGCATTGCTTTGGACCAACATCATCCTCCCTCGTCGATTTCTTAATATTTTCTATTTTTATTTTTTTATTTGTTTTCATTTTGTCTGTTCACTCTAGATATGATGGGTTCACCTTCTTGCAACACAAGTACAGGCAAGAATCCTGTTTTGTATGATCATCTGCCGTATCCTCTTAATGAAGATGACTACATGCGTGTCTGTAGGATTCCAAAAAGAAAGGTTAGTACTAGGACCCTGTGCAGTGTGCATTATGCTTCGTGATACTAATGATTTAATTCTCTCCTTTATTTCCTAGGGTGCAAATTATAGAGACCTACCAGGCATTGTTATTGGATCGAACAATGTAGTTACACGAGCAAGGGAGCCCGAATTGATGCCATCTGGAAAGCACTGGGTAATAAAAAGATAGTCATTATTCTATGGTTTGCGAAGTTTTTCATATCAGTTTTCAGAAGTTTTTCTGAAGGGAATGTATAGATTGTATATGATCCTGAGGATGGAGATCTCATTGGTTTAATAGGTTTTACTATAAACTTATATGGCAGGAACGTACATTAATGTAACTTAGCTTAAACCCTTCTGCTTGGAGATTTAGGGTGTGATTAGATATGAATTTGAATGATTTTTTTTTTTTTTTTTTTTTTAACCATTGTTAATTTTGAAAAAGGTAGTATGATTAGTTGTTAGTGGGAGTTTAAGTTTAAATTATTCTAATAAATAAAATAAAATAATTAAAGTTGATTTGATGTAAAGTAAGAGAAAAATGATTGGAAGTGATGGTTAGTAAAAATTATGTGAGTGAATGAATAGTGGATTAAAGTTGATGTGTAAGAATGACTGGTTGATATTATTTAATTATATTGATAATAATGAGGTTGAGTCGAAGTTGAGTTGAATTTGAGTTTAATTGATTTTTAACTAGTCCAGTTTATATCCAATCACACCACTTAAGGTTGATTGATTAGTTGTGCCTATGCGAGAATGTTTTATCTTTTTCCTTAAATAATTTTTGGCCATGCAATTTTTTCTCATCTTTCCCCTTTGGTATTCTCGTCGTTATCAGGTGCCCGATTATGCCATCAATTTCCGCGGTGGAACTTCCAAAGCGTGAGCTTTCTCTTTAGCTATTTTTTGTTCTTTTCTTTGCGAAATAAGTGATCTTAGTCTATTTCAATTGGAAAAATGCAGAGCATTTGGACGGTTGTGGTGGGACGAGACTGTGCCAACTGTCCTATGTTATCCGGATCCCCATTCGCGGGTCAGCATCTTTCAGTTAGGTAGTTTTTCTTGTGCTCTGTACAATTCAGCTAATCTTCAAGTATGGTCCATTCTTAATGCAGGCAATTATACACCCTGAACAAGACAGGCTCCTCACATTAAGGGAATGTGCAAGGCTGCAAGGCTTTCATGACCACTATAAGTTCTGTGGAACGTTGAAAGAAAGGCAAGTATTTGTTTTAATTGATGATATTATTCCGCATGCATAAAATTCATACATAGGTGGTGAATGCAAGCACTCAATAACAGCAATTTTCAGCTTCTGAGTGGGGAAATTCAATAATTTCTTCCCTTTGGAAGCTGAGAGTTTCCTTATTTTTTTCCCGGGTGGTGAATGTGATTAAATCATTAGAACACAAGCAATGAATATACTTAATCAACATCGTTTGCATATCCATGTTGCATCATGGACCGGGGTCGAGATATAACAGTTGTTCACTACGAGCCTGATTGGAGATAAGTTATTTTGGATTTGATCGGATTTATTGGATAAAGTGAGCTAATTTTGAAAGAAAAAATGATTGAGTTTGGTTTGAGTGAAATCTTGAGTTTGTGTCTAAATAATATTTAAAATATAATTATTAATATTGATGTGATGTAAAATTACAAGAGAAGTGATTGAAAGTGATGAATACTTAAATTTATGTGAGTGGATGAATAGTGAATTGAAGTTGATATGATGTGTGATGATGATTGTTTGATATTATTTAACCATATTGATAATATTGAGAAAAGTTAGATTGAGTTAAGTTTGAGTTGGATTTTGAATTAAAAAAATTATATAATCAGTCATAACTTGATATTTTGTATCCAATCATGCCCTAAGCACACATCCTAATTGATTCCATTCTTTGAAAACGGGATGATNTGGCCTTTATAGGTACCGTCAAGTAGGGAATGCAGTGGCTGTTTCAGTGGGACGTGCACTTGGGTACTCACTGGGCATGGCGGTGCAGAAGCTGAGTGGGGATGGACACCTCATGACACTCCCGCCAAAGTTCTCTCACTCTACAACTCTTGAGCTGCTATCTTCTCTTTAGAAATGATAAGCAGTAATATGATTCTTTTCCTTCTACTATATATTATTTGATTTGATTTGATCATTGGGAGATGATGTTTCTCTCCAGATTCGGATTGTCATTCGATTATAAAAACATGATGTAACTCATTCATAATTCGGATTGTCATTCAATCATAAAAACATGATGTAACTCATTCATCATTCGGATTGTAGTCATTCAATCATAAAAACATGATGTAACCCATTCATCTTATGATTTGATCACTTTATGAATCAAAGTGGTAATCCATTCACCAGCTTGGTTTTCAGTTTCAATCTATAAATTCGCTTTCTTTTGTGGTGTTCTTTCATCTTTCGAAACTTCATTTATTATGAGCTTTAGATGGTGGTACAAGTATAAAGCCTGTCTCGTGATTTCTTGTTGTGACGGTAAATTCACTTGATGGAGTTAATTTGAGGTGCTATTAATGTAACAGTAAATTTATTTTGATGTGCCACCTCAGTAAATTTCACTTGATGGTTGTTACTGTGATAGCACTTTACGATAAGGAATTGAATTGAGTGATGACTCGTTGTGCATAACAAAAAATCCCATAGCATGCTGTTTGATTGTCGAATCAACTCTTGTAGTTTGAAAAAAAAAAAATGAACACTTTCTCATTTAATTAAGAAAACATCAAAAAACATATCAATTTTTTTAATGTTTTCATCCATTTTTTAGCGTAGAAATAAGTGATATTAAAATATTGTGGATAAAATTATTGTTTTATCGAATAGGTAAGGCTCTTGGTACTTGGTAGGCAATGCGAAAAGGATAGTGAACTATTTTTTTTATTTTTTTTTTCAATAGATGTGTATATTGTTAAATTAAAAATATCATTTTAAAACACTATAAATAAATCGTAGTATGTATTTTTTATGACAAAAACATTATAAATCCGCATATGCCTCTAATTAATTTATGTATATACTATATAACAAAGATTTGACATTTCACTAATCAATTTATGTATGTATTAAATTTGCATGTGTTCACCTGATGAGAATTTCTACAGATTGGACTAAATGAGTTATCATTTTGCTTTACGCGCAACTACTCTCATCTTAAGAATTGGACCGAGCCCATCGGTTGCGCAGCAGTAAAGAAAAGGCCTAATTGGTAAATTCGCCATAGCAATTCCCAACGGCTCCTTTTCAAAATATAGCCGTTAACACCTTCTTGCGGTCTTGCCCAACTAGGAAAAAAGTCATGTACAGCTCGCAAAAAAACCTAAATCGCGACTTGATCGCATATAAACCCTAAAATCCACAATTTCCATTAACCATTCAGGCATCTCTCTCTCTCTCTCTATAGCCCGCCTTGATTTTCCATATTACAGTTCGATTGATTGTGGTGTTAATTAAATTAATCTGTAGTTATTTTTCTAACCGACTCTTTACGTTTGAGCCTTCTTATACCTTTGATTTGTTGCAGGGCAATTTATTTTCAGTCTGTTGAATCGTACTCATACGCAGTAGATATAACTCAATTCGTGTAATTCTGGTTATTCCTTTTATTATTGCCATTAGTTTGTTGTCCTAACGTGATGGAGACAGGAATGGTTCACTCGTCTGCGTCTTCGAACAAGGCTCGACCTCGATGCCCACTACAGGAACAACTCCTGCAGAGAAGAAACTCGAGGGAGAATGTATGTTACTGTTGTTTATGAGTTGAATTTCGGTTGAATTTTGTTGTTCGGTTTGCCGAGTTTTCTTGATTGTCGCTGGGCATTGCATAGAGTCTAGGGTATAATTTAGTTTAGGGGAAAGCGTGAAGCGAAGTAATTTTTTTGATTAGGATTCATATATATTCTTTAGGAGTTGTTTGTGTTCCTTTCAGGGAAATAGGAGGATTTCTGTTGTTTTACAAAATTTCCTTTATTTTGTACTTTTCTCTTCTGTTTCTTTGAATTAATACATGCTTTACTTGTATTTATCTTTTTTTCCTGAGTCCTAGTATGGATTCTTGGTTGATTTTAACTGTCTGGATACAATTTGATATAGAGGACTGAAAAGTATGAGTAATTTCTCAGTTTAGGATATTGTTTGTATAAGTATATTCTTCAAGAGTCATATATACCCATATCTTTCTTTATTTGCTTTGTTGTTTTTGTGTATTCGACACTTTAGCGTGTTCTTTCTTTATTCTTGGAGAATGGTTCTAGTTTAGAATCCACATGTTCTGTGGATGATCTGAAGTTGTATTTACATTATTTTATTTTTGAGTTATAATAGAGATACTGGTTATTAATGAGTGGTTCTTGTATCTAACTTTCATTGACTCTATGTGGATCGGTTCTTGTCTGCAGTTGGATCGGTTCATACCTAATAGATCGGCCATGGATTTTGATTATGCGCACTACATGCTTACAGAAGGTAAGAAAGGTAAGGAAAATCCCGTAAGCTCTTCTCCTTCTAGGGAGGCGTACAGGAAGCATCTTGCTGAGACCTTCAACATGAACCGCACCCGAATTCTAGCTTTCAAGAATAAGCCTCCAACACCAATAGAGGCCATCCCAAATGACATCTCATTGGCCACTCACCAAGTCAAGCCCACTAAACCCCGTCGGCACATTCCCCAGGTTGGTTTCATCGAATTCTTTTAAAAATAAATTTTAATTATCATCATGATCCCCAATGACTCTGCATAGGTGTACTAAAATATTGACTCTAATTGGGTAAATAATATATGCTTTATGCAGACTTCGGAGAGGACGCTAGATGCCCCTGAGATTTTGGACGACTACTATCTGAATTTACTGGACTGGGGCAATAGTAATGTTCTTTCGATTGCTCTTGGAAACACCGTATATTTGTGGGATGCTTCAGATGGGAGTACCTCGGAGCTTGTTGTTATCAACGAGGAAAGTGGGCCAGTGACCAGTGTGAAATGGGCTCCTGACGGTAGGCACATTGCTGTTGGTCTGAACAACTCCGAGGTCCAGCTGTGGGACTCGACTGCTAATAGACTGGTGAGTGTCTGCCTTTTTAATGAACATATCTTTGCAATTAATTTGAAATGGATTAATTTACAAAAAGTACGTGTAAGGGTGATGTTCTCTTGACATCTGCTATACATATATAAAGAAAATATATAAATTTTGAGTAGGGGTGCTTGTGTGGTGATACCTTGAGTGGGTATTTATAATTTTGAGTAAAATTGACGGGTGAGTTTGTACTTTGTATACAATTGAATTGATTTAAAAAATGTCCTTGAGTGTTTGTATACAATTGATTGATGAGTTTCACTCGTGTTAATGTTTTCTGAATTTCGATTATTGAACTATGAGAAAACATCTCAAAGTTTTTCTCTGATTACATGAAAGCTCAGGCGCCCATCTTTCAAAATGAAAATAACATACTTCCTTCGTATTCGCTTCCATTATAATAAAAACCACCTACACAGTGGAATAGTTGTAATACTGTTACCGGTAAGCTCGACCAGAAAAAAAAAGAAAAAAAAAAAAAAAAGAAAAAAAAAAAAAAACCCTACTCAAGAAATGAGATCTTAAAAATTTGTGTCTATTGTGTCCCCACAGCTGAGAACCCTGAAAGGCGGCCATGCATCCCGTGTAGGCGCACTCGACTGGAACGGCCACATCCTGACAACTGGCGGAATGGACGGCCGCATCATCAACAACGATGTGCGCGTGCGGGCCCACATAGTCGAAACCTACATCGGCCATCGTCAGGAGGTTTGCGGGCTCAAGTGGTCGGGCTCGGGCCAGCAGCTAGCCAGCGGCGGCAATGACAATCTCCTTCACATATGGGACCGTTCAGTAGCCTCGTCAAGCGGGCCCACACAGTGGCTCCACAGGCTTGAGGACCACACTGCAGCAGTTAAGGCTCTTGCTTGGTGTCCTTTCCAGGGGAACTTGCTGGCCTCGGGAGGTGGAGGAGGAGATAGGTCTATCAAGTTCTGGAACACGCACACAGGCGCATGTTTGAATTCAGTGGACACGGGTTCTCAAGTGTGTGCCCTTTTGTGGAACAAAAACGAGCGGGAGTTGCTGAGTTCACACGGGTTTACTCAGAATCAGCTTACTTTGTGGAAATACCCGTCGATGGTGAAGATGGCTGAGCTCACGGGGCATACATCTAGGGTGCTTTTCATGGCTCAGGTAATGGTTGATATTGTGCTTTTCGAAGATAACTGTTGATTGTAAAATTTATCCACTTTCTTCTGTATTTTGATGGTTTGTGTGTTTATTGAATTCTAGAGTCCGGATGGATGTACAGTTGCATCTGCAGCTGGGGATGAGACTCTGAGGTTTTGGAATGTTTTTGGGACTCCTCAAGTTGCTAAACCTTCCCCAAAGACAACTGCTACTGCTACCGAGCCGTTTGCTCACTTGAATCGTATTAGATAAATTGGCGAAAATGCTGCATTATATTTTTGTTTGTGTGTGTTGGATTCCAAAGTGGAGAGGAGAGAGAGAGAGAGAGCTGCCTTTGGATACCAAACATCAATAGAACAAATGTGCTGCNCGTTTTCCTTTTCTTGTTCATGTGATGAACTCAGGGTAGATTGATACTATATTGTGTATCTGAAGTATATGTGTTTTTGTCACAAACAGTGACTAAATTGTACAGATTCAATAGTTTGCGCCTTTATTTTTTCTCTTCTTTTTTTGGGTTTTTGTTTTTTCCTAAAGCATGCATTTCGAAACAAAGAAAAGAAAATGGTACTTGTAGTGGTTGAAACAAAAGAGTATTTTGACTATTAAAAATAAAACTCAAGTAATATATATGATTTCGGAAATTGTTGCTCTCTAATTAGGCCAAGTCGAAATGACAGTATATTATAAATTCCCAACAAATTACACTCACGAGGCCACAAAATTCTCAATCCTTCAACTTTTGTGTTAAAAGAGAAAACAATGATTAATAAATATACAAGATTTTGTACAACGTTTGTAGCGAAAACAAGAAATTCTCATCAATAAACTTGTTCGTCAATGATAGCAAAGATTGTAAAGATTTTTTTTTCCTTTTTTTATTTTTTATTTTTTTGAAATTAGAAATATTACTGAAGGCCATAAACTAACAAAGCTGCAACTCCACCAATCCCAGCAATAAGGCCAATAATAACTCCAATTGGAGGCAATCCACCTCCAATGGCTTTTCCAGTATTGACGTCGTATCTTGCAAACCTCTTCTTTGGTGCTCGGCATTGTGGGCAGGCATAGTCATCCGGCTGTGCATTAAGGAATAAAAATAAATCAAGGATTTTCTTAGGAACTTCCAAAATATATCTGTTGATTGAACACAAGACATAAAGAGTGATGATTAGGCAAAATAATGGTTCGGGAAGGACCCTTGATTGTTGGATTATGAAAATGTTCGACAAAACACTCAAGTGATTCTCAACTTCTGGCTAAA